CAGGGTCATCATCTTTGAAAGTCTGCCCACCTCCTCCAATTCCCAGTAGGGACTAATCAACAGATTTATCATCTTTGAAAGTCTGCCCACCTCCTCCAGTTCCCAACGGGGACTAATCAACAGATTTATCATCTTTGAAAGTCTGCCCACCTCCTCCGGTTCCCAGTAGGGACTAATCAACAGGGTCATCATCTTTGAAAGTCTGCCCACCTCCTCCAGTTCCCAGTAGGGACTAATCAACAGGTTTATCATCTTTGAAAGTCTGCCCACCTCCTCCAGTTCCCAACGGGGACTAATCAACAGATTTATCATCTTTGAAAGTCTGCCCACCTCCTCCAGTTCCCAACGGGGACTAATCAACAGATTTATCATCTTTGAAAGTCTGCCCACCTCCTCCAGTTCCCAACGGGGACTAATCAACAGATTTATCATCTTTGAAAGTCTGCCCACCTCCTCCAGTTCCCAGTAGGGACTAATCAACAGGGTCATCATCTTTGAAAGTCTGCCCACCTCCTCCAATTACCAGTATGGACTAATCAACAGATTTATCATCTTTGAAAGTCTGCCCACCTCCTCCAGTTCCCAGTAGGGACTAATCAACAGGGTCATCATCTTTGAAAGTCTGCCCACCTCCTCCAATTCCCAGTAGGGACTAATCAACAGATTTATCATCTTTGAAAGTCTGCCCACCTCCTCCAGTTCCCAACGGGGACTAATCAACAGATTTATCATCTTTGAAAGTCTGCCCACCTCCTCCGGTTCCCAGTAGGGACTAATCAACAGGGTCATCATCTTTGAAAGTCTGCCCACCTCCTCCAGTTCCCAGTAGGGACTAATCAACAGGTTTATCATCTTTGAAAGTCTGCCCACCTCCTCCAGTTCCCAACGGGGACTAATCAACAGATTTATCATCTTTGAAAGTCTGCCCACCTCCTCCAGTTCCCAACGGGGACTAATCAACAGATTTATCATCTTTGAAAGTCTGCCCACCTCCTCCAGTTCCCAACGGGGACTAATCAACAGATTTATCATCTTTGAAAGTCTGCCCACCTCCTCCAGTTCCCAGTAGGGACTAATCAACAGATTTATCATCTTTGAAAGTCTGCCCACCTCCTCCAGTTCCCAACGGGGACTAATCAACAGATTTATCATCTTTGAAAGTCTGCCCACCTCCTCCAGTTCCCAATGGGGACTAATCAACAGGGTCATCATCTTTGAAAGTCTGCCCACCTCCTCCAGTTCCCAATGGGGACTAATCAACAAATTTATCATCTTTGAAAGTCTGCCCACATCCTCCAATTCCCAATGGGGACTAATCAACAGGGTCATCATCTTTGAAAGTCTGCCCACCTCCTCCAGTTCCCAATGGGGACTAATCAACAAATTTATCATCTTTGAAAGTCTGCCCACATCCTCCAATTCCCAATGGGGACTAATCAACAGGGTCATCATCTTTGAAAGTCTGCCCACCTCCTCCAGTTCCCAGTAGGGACTAATCAACAGGTTATCATCTTTGAAAGTCTGCCCACCTCCTCCAGTTCCCAATGGGGACTAATCAACAGATTTATCATCTTTGAAAGTCTGCCCACCTCCTCCAGTTCCCATTAGGGACTAATCAACAGGTTATCATCTTTGAAAGTCTGCCCACCTCCTCCAGTTCCCAGTAGGGACTAATCAACAGGGTCATCATCTTTGAAAGTCTGCCCACCTCCTCCAGTTCCCAGTAGGGACTAATCAACAGGTTATCATCTTTGAAAGTCTGCCCACCTCCTCCAATTCCCAATGGGGACTAATCAACAGGTTTATCATCTTTGAAAGTCTGCCCACCTCCTCCAGTTCCCAGTAGGGACTAATCAACAGATTTATCATCTTTGAAAGTCTGCCCACCTCCTCCAGTTCCCAGTAGGGACTAATCAACAGGGTCATCATCTTTGAAAGTCTGCCCACCTCCTCCAGTTCCCAATGGGGACTAATCAACAGATTTATCATCTTTGAAAGTCTGCCCACCTCCTCCAGTTCCCAGTAGTGACTAATCAACAGGGTCATCATCTTTGAAAGTCTGCCCACCTCCTCCAGTTCCCAGTAGGGACTAATCAACAGATTTATCATCTTTGAAAGTCTGCCCACCTCCTCCAGTTCCCAATGGGGACTAATCAACAGAGTCATCATCTTTGAAAGTCTGCCCACCTCCTCCAGTTCCCAGTAGGGACTAATCAACAGGTTATCATCTTTGAAAGTTTGCCCACCTCCTCCAATTCCCAGTAGGTACTAATCAACAGGTTATCATCTTTGAAAGTCTGCCCACCTCCTCCAATTCCCAGTAGGGACTAATCAACAGATTTATCATCTTTGAAAGTGTGCCCACCTCCTCCAGTTCCCAGTAGGGACTAATCAACAGATTTATCATCTTTGAAAGTCTGCCCACCTCCTCCAGTTCCCAATGGGGACTAATCAACAGATTTATCATCTTTGAAAGTCTGCCCACCTCCTCCAGTTCCCAGTAGGGACTAATCAACAGAGTCATCATCTTTGAAAGTCTGCCCACCTCCTTCAGGTCCCAGTAGGGACTAATCAACAGGTTTATCATCTTTGAAAGTCTGCCCACCTCCTCCAGTTCCCAGTAGGGACTAATCAACAGAGTCATCATCTTTGAAAGTCTGCCCACCTCCTTCAGGTCCCAGTAGGGACTAATCAACAGAGTCATCATCTTTGAAAGTCTGCCCACCTCCTTCAGGTCCCAGTAGGGACTAATCAACAGAGTCATCATCTTTGAAAGTCTGCCCACCTCCTTCAGGTCCCAGTAGGGACTAATCAACAGGTTTATCATCTTTGAAAGTCTGCCCACCTCCTCCAGTTCCCAGTAGGGACTAATCAACAGGTTTATCATCTTTGAAAGTCTGCCCACCTCCTTCAGGTCCCAGTAGGGACTAATCAACAGGTTTATCATCTTTGAAACAAATAGTAATCCATAAAAAACTAGTGCATTATGTACTCTTCCTGTAATATTGTCCATTATGTCAAAAGTTCACACAGGTAAAATTTCACATATCAGCCAATCAATAACATGTTTAAAGTTTAATCAATGTGAAAATAATTTGTTTTGATTACGAAACAGTTGTTATGATTAATTGATGCCTTGAGAGTTTAATGTGTGAAAATCATTTCGGACTGAACTGAACACAACATGTGTCTTATATTTCAAGACTGATTTTAAAAAAATCGTTAACAACCACCAAAAAACCCCCATCTTATCCTGGTCTTCACATGACCTGATGAATGCAGTAGTGAGACAGTGAACACATAAAACACTAGACAAGATTATGTAAAAGGAGTTTATTAATAATAAATATATAATGTCTAACACAGGTATATATAAAGTGTAGAAAAGTTAATATCCCAACACCTGTAATATCACCAGCTGTACCTGTACTACTGTCAATTTACAGCATCACTTGCAGGGGGAAATATCTTAACAACAGAATATGGTGGGAGATATTTCTTGAACTGTATATTATAGTAGGGGGCACTCCTGATCACAAAATGGTAGACTGAATTATACACCATAGTGTAGCTTTTCTCCAAAAGACTGGACCTGTTGAAACTTTTTTTGAAGCAATTACAAATGTAGTGAAAACCTTTTCACAGCTCCACTCTGACAAACTCCAGAGTGTGACATTATCTGCTCTATGGTGGTGTAAAATCATATATTTTCATGGGGTTTGAATTTCGTGATTTTTCCAAAATAAATACTCTCTTAGTATCACTCGATCTTGAGGATAAGCAGTATTCTAAGAAAAACATTATTTTTAATACTCTATCATTTCATGTGTATTTAAGGATTGAGAGTACCCCAAAATCAATGAAAATAATTCCTCCTGGAAAATAAAGTATTTTACCATTCATTTTTGTTTTACAGACACTGTTTCATTCTTTAAAGTGTTTCTATAACATAACATGTTATACCTCTATCATTTCTGATGATGAAAATCCTTAAACCAGATAAGTTTAATGGGAGTACATGGAGGAACTATCACTTTTGAAAAATGTGTTAAATATTAGTGTCAAGTACTTGTTAAATAGATAATAGTAATAAAGCCCACCATAGTGTATTCTACAGGTATGGCTATACATGAAGTTTTATAGGGGGTCGACAGCTAATACAAGTCCATTCCGACCATTGTTTCTATTCCTTTTTTCCCATGGGACAGGTTTAAAAGTATTCAGGACATTTTCCTAAATTTTGGAAAATACTTTCCTGCTGATTTGGAATGTCCTTCTGTTTTGAAAAATTTGTGTAATTGGGGTCAGGAGGTCATAGAAAAGTCTAATGATTAGGAGGTAACAACTGTGTGTAAAATTCTAAATGATAACTATATATACATCCACGAAGCTTGGTCCGTCGGAGGAATATGTGTGATAGCATCATTAACAGCTTGACAAGCATGCACATGCTGGTTATAAAAAGGCACATATCATTTAATTATATCAAATACACAATGGTTACAAAAATAGAATGAAAGCCATGACATCAACAGTTCTTGTCTGTTTCTTTTTTTTCAAAAACTTTAGCTCGTCGAACACTTGACCTTAGAATAAAAAAAAATCAAATGTATAGATGGTTGTAATTTTTGTGTTTATTCATACATAGTAGGTGAATCAAATGATTTTGTCCCTCGAAAAAAAAAAAAAAAAAAATCATTCAAAGTTCAGAAATAGTAAACTTATTTCCTACACAAAACATCATGATTTCGTATTTTCCTACACAAAAAATCATGATTTTGTCTTTTCCTACACAAAAATCATGATTTTGTCTTTTCCTACACAAAAAATCATGATTTTGTCTTTTCCTACACAAAAAATCATGATTTTGTCTTTTCCTACACAAAAAATCATGATTTTGTCTTTTCCTACACAAAAATCATGATTTTGTCTTTTCCTACACAAAAAATCATGATTTTGTCTTTTCCTACACAAAAAATCATGATTTTGTCTTTTCATGATTTTGTCTTTTCCTACACAAAAAATCATGATTTTGTCCAATAAAGCATCTCCTTTCCATCTCTAATTTCTACTCTGTTTGTCACTGGTGAGTCTATATCCACATGAAGAACATTGGAACAAAGACTCAACAAGAGTGATCATAGACTTATACAGAAAATTATCATGAACTCCTCTACTTGACTTATTCAATTTTACTGGAATTATCTGTTTTGCCGAACAATGGACTTTCAGCTTATATAGGAGACAATGGTATCAGTCAACATTAGGATTTCCCATACAGTTACATTACTTTAACTGAACAGGGTATCTTAATTGTTATATTGAAGGCAAGAAAAGAAATATCATTTCAATGTTTGTGGCAAGTAGTCCATCATCGAAGTCTGCTACTGACTCATTTATCAAAATATCTTAATCACTAAATCAATGGCTTCAAATTACTTAACTCAAGTAGACGAATTCAAAATATTTACCACATCTAGAAATTGCTTGAACTGTTAACATAATATCAAGACATAAACAACACTGACATCTACAAAATGTCGACTGTTGACATAAAGATTTAAGACACAAAAACAAAATGTGTTAACTAGAAGAAGAGAGCAAGAGATTTTGTCTAACATTACTCTAACATTTCTCTTACATATTTCACCACAATATCATAGCATTATATATCACCTTTCTTACTTGTAACATAGAATATTTCATTTTACACAATGTCATCAACACACTATCTACATATTTCATGATTTTAAGAAAATACATTTAAATATCAGTCTGACAGATTCACTCTTTACATTTCACATCTATACACGCTTCTGTCCTCCTTATGACAATGGCACTTATCCATTACAGATGCAGGAGTCCATTGTGAAAAAACAGGGATGTGAAGGTAAAACTCTGCAGAAATTTCTATAACAATTTTGTTGCTTATTAATCTATTGAATGTGAAGTATACTATGGAAAGTATCGATACAATCTATAATCTATTCCTGATCTCATACCCAAGTACAAGAACAGCTTTCTCAACAATGTTATATAATGATGTTATAAACTGTTTAAAGCTAAATACTACAGTCACACATGTCATTTTTCATTTTTACAAAAAGTCTTGAATTTGTGAGTATGATTAATTCAGAAAGCAAACATATATATATGTCTGTACAATTCCCTATCACATAAACATTGGGGAACTCTGTATGAAGTTATCACTTTCTCTAGAAAACCAAGCAATTAGCACAGAGATATAAAGAAATCTCAGAGAAAACTGGTAATTCCTGACAGCATCCACTCCAGACAGACAGCATACTTGACAGGTGTCCTCAAATTTAAATCGTTGTTCTACAATTCCAATTATTTGTCATATTGTTCTTGACTCGTTGTTCAATGTAACACAGCGTTGATGTGATTGTTCAGTTCCCAAGGATCCAGTTGTTGAATGCACCCTGTAAAACAGACCAGTAGTTATCTCCCTTGATGCATTATACAACAACTTTAATTCTTAAATCAAGGAGCAGTAGTGACAATGCAGACAACATTTTTAATTTAAAATTCTCGCAATCTGTCCCTTTATCAACAAAACAGAAATTTTACAAATCATATAAATTATAGAACAATGATATTTTACTTATTTTGATTAATTTCTTTCCCCAGAAACCTCATCATTAAAAAACTCACACGATTCACACTTGAAGAGTATATGGTATTTGTCACGAAGCAGGTACATCTATTTGTTATTGTGAATGGTATGTGAATTAGTCACGTGTGCGTGTGTGTGTACGTGTGAAGAAGGACGGGTAGTGCATGGGCTGGACAGGATAGACTAGTGGCCATTGTTGGCAGAGCTGTTTAGGATTATTTTCCCAGCCATAATTCGTGTGTGATGAAGCCCGGATATCTGACTGGGGTAAGTATTCTTTCTATCTTTCATAAATTGTTGTTTTAGTTGGCTATTTCGTGCCATATTTTAATTGTCCCTATTGCGGGTCAACCAATCTATCCATCGATGCGTGTCCACTCGAGCGTAACTATTTGCTGTTATAGTATACAGGTGTGTTGATTTTAAATGTCATAATTAACAGTATTAGGTAATTAGGATTTATGTGGTATTATAGTAATGTGTTGATATGTACAAGTAATTTAGTTGCCTTTAAGCGTATATTTCGCTTAGTAACGTTATTTTGTTTGAGTAGTTTATCTATGGAAGCCCTGAGTAGTAGTTGTATTTGCCTGTGCAAGAGTTGAGTGCGCGCAGGTGTAAAAAGTACGGAAGCCACTCAGTAGCCTATATGGTTGCGGTGATACATGCGTTTTGGCATTATTATTATAAGAAAATGGTCACGCATCCTAGAATTTAATATGTTTGTAGGGGTCTTTCTACAATTAGGTTTAGTATTTATAAAGGGAAGTAGAATTGATGGTAAATTATATAGTTAGTTAAGGAATGTCTTAGTTGGATTAAAGTATGGATGTGCGTGAGTGTTTATGATATTTTGTCATGTTTATTATAGCTTCACAGGACGCGCAGACAACCAAGTTAGGCTACCCATAGCCTGCAAAGACTGCAACAGACTGGTATGCAACAGGGCCGGCCAGCATTGCAACAGCAAATACCAGGGGCACGGTCAGCTATCAGGACGTTCAGACAAGACGTCAGGCAGGCTATGTAGGCAGAGTTGATGTTGGAGATCCTGGTCTGAGAGGGACCAATGATGCTGATAGGCATATGCTATTCTGTTTATTGTGTTAGCCGTGGGCTAAATTTTGTATGCATTTTGTGCGCCGTCTCGAGCTGGTGAACAACGAGTCAGGACCTGTAAAGACCACTGGGTGACTGTATTTCCTCGGAGAAATGTGAAAAGACTCACAGTGTGTGAAGAGACTGTAGTATTACATTTAGAGGCATGGAAGATAGAGTGGGTGAATGAGAGTGTGTTATTGTCTATATTTAGTGTATGTAGTGTAAATAAACTTGTATATATATGTATTGGAGTATCTCTTGTGTTTTTTTCCCGTGAATGCCGAACTGAGGCTTGTCCCGCGTTACAAATTGGTGGCAGCAGTGGGATAACTGACGTTAAGTACTTTTGGGAATAGAACACATGAGATAATGTTAGGTTAGACTGTCTGACTTTTCCCTCATTATTTCTTGCCCAACTTTTCAGTAATTTCTGGTTGCGCTAGGAGCTGTACGAAGTAGAGCACTCACAGGTAAGTGGTATACCTGACGGAGGTTGGTGATATACAAGGTCAGACAAGGTGAGTATATTTAATTTTTATGTAATTAAGGTATTTTCTTTCAGTTTGTTCATTTTCTTTTTGCATAATTTTCATCATGTCGGCACTCCAGGAACTTATAACCATGGGAAAGGAATTGGGCTATGAAGGTGCAGAGTTGCAGAAGTTTGTTCGAGTTTGTTTCTATACCTATCTGAATACAAGATCAGCTTCCAACTTGACAGGTGTAGACAACACAACATAAAGATCAGCTAACACCTTGACAGGTGTAGACAACACATTATAAAGATCAGTGAAAACCTGGACAGGTGTAGACAACACAACATAAAGATCAGCTTCCAACTTGACAGGTTTAGACAACACATTATAAAGATCACCGAACACCTGGACAGGTGTAAACAACACATTATAAAGATCAGCTAACACCTGGACAGGTGTAGACAACACATTATAAAGATCAACTAACACCTGGACAGGTGTAGACAACACAACATAAAGATCAGCTTCCAACTTGACAGGTGTAGACAACACATTATAAAGATCAGCTAACACCTGGACAGGTGTAGACAACACATTATAAAGATCAGCGAACACCTGGACAGGTGTAGACAACACATTATAAAGATCAGCTAACACCTTGACAGGTGTAGACAACACAACATAAAGATCAGCTAACACCTGGACAAGTGTAGACAACACAACATCAAGATCAGCTTCCAACTTGACAGGTGTAGACAACACATTATAAAGATCAGCGAACACCTGGACAAGTGTAAACAACACATTATAAAGATCAGCGAACACCTGGACAGGTGTAGACAACACAACATAAAGATCAGCTTCCAAATTGACAGGTTTAGACAACACATTATAAAGATCAGCTAACACCTGGACAGGTGTAGACAACACAACATAAAGATCAGCTTCCAACTGGACAGGTGTAGACAACACAACATAAAGATCAGCTAACACCTGGACAGGTGTAGACAACACAACATCAAGATCAGCTAACACCTGGACAGGTGTAGACAACACAACATAAAGATCAGCTTCCAACTGGACAGGTGTAGACAACACAACATAAAGATCAGCTAACACCTGGACAGGTGTAGACAACACATTATAAAGATCAACTAACACCTGGACAGGTGTAGACAACACAACATAAAGATCAACTAACACCTGGACAGGTGTAGACAACACAACATAAAGATCAGCTAACACCTGGACAGGTGTAGACAACACAACATAAAAATCAGCTAATACCTTGACAGGTGTAGACAACACAACATAAAGATCAGCTTCCAACTGGACAGGTGTAGACAACACAACATAAAGATCAGCTAACACCTGGACAGGTGTAGACAACACATTATAAAGATCAACTAACACCTGGACAGGTGTAGACAACACAACATAAAGATCAACTAACACCTGGACAGGTGTAGACAACACAACATAAAGATCAGCTAACACCTGGACAGGTGTAGACAACACAATATAAAACAAGGTTCAAAAATTACCGGGAAGGAGTAGATGAATAGTGCGATGAGAATGATGAGGAGGATAACGATGAGGAGTCCAATGAACCACCACTTGTATCTACGCCAGATAATGAACTTGAATGTCTTCCATGGAGATGTAAACCACAAGAAGGACGTCTCTGGTCGTCTGAAATTTGAAACCATTTGACTGATGAAAATCAGGAAATAAACCATGCAAAGTGTGCATTTTATTAAAAACAAAAAATTCTCAGTGGGTGTCATTTTTATTGTTTTTGGCCATAGATCTATGAGAAGAAAACCATTGAGAGATTCAACAAAAGAAACAAAAATATTATTCATGATAAGTATGTAGTAATGTTGGAAAACATGAGCAGTACCTACTTGGGAGGGTCTAGATGAGGATTTGTGTTGGACCACATGACCAGTACTTTCTTGGGAGGGTCTAGATGGGGATTTATTTTGGACCACATGACCAGTACTTACTTGGGAGGGTCTAGATGGGGGTTCATGTTTGGTTCCTCTTGTCCTTGTCCAGCAGGGCGCTCATCAGCCTCTTGTAATGATACAAGTTCCAACTCCATCTCAATCTTACCCTGCAATATATCATATCAATCAATTAACCTAATACATTCCTACAGATATGTATCAATCAATTAACCTAATACATTCCTACAGATATGTATCAATCAATTAACCTAATACATTCATACAGATATGTATCAATCATTTCTATAAGATCCAATCAAGAAGTGTAAATCAATGGCTCACTTAACCACCAGGGCACCAATATTCTTCCATAATTATACATATTCTATTCAATATTTTACAAAAAAAGGTAATATGACCTCGATTACAATTGAAACTTTCTAAAATCGAGACTGCTATAATCCATACCGTTAGAACCCGCTCTCCAGTTTCATCATTGAAGCAGGGCCAGAACCCTTTAAGTCTCTTCTGTTCAAACAATGAGACCAGTTTGACTTCATGCCCTGTCTGTAAGTCTGGCAGCTGGGTAAGATTACAATCCCCTGCTTTTTTGGCTGGTTTTGGCATTGCACTCAGGTTCAGAGACAAAGTTCCTGCAGGAGAAGAGATCTGACATCAGATAGAGAAGCTGGCTTTTCATTGTTACTGCTTTATCTTTATGATATTGATAAGTAGCAGTAGTAGCATACATTACAAATTTTCTACAAAATTTTATTGAAGTGAGTTCAGTAATGTTTTTCTAAAATGTAAATGTTTACAAACCTGTAATTTGCAAAATGTAAAAGGTGACTTAGACTCATGTAAGGAAGAACACAGAACGAAACTTATATGAAGATTTTAACACAGAGTTTATATGTCATGATTATGGAAGGTTCAAGGTCAAATTCATACCTAGAAAGTCATCCATGGAGAACTTATCATTGTCCCAAATCTGCATGACGAGGTTTGCAGGCAGACGTTGCTCTGTCTCGTCCAGGCTCCAGAAATGTTCCTGTGGACAACCAAAACATAATATAAAAAATCACATATTACCAATGGGCATGGCAGAGATGATATAATGAAAATCTGAACAATTTTACAAGAAAGTTTAACCAGAAAATCAGTGTGAAGATATAACTTTGAGGTGGGAAGTATACAAGGCCTGCTGTTCTGGTTGCTAAAACGTGTTTTGTCATACAAATGTACACATACTGTGTCGATTCTGTGTACTGGTACTAATACTTAACAATACCACAAATACATACATTTATATAGAAGCTTGCATTATCTTTTTAATCAAGCCATACTAAATCTCTTAAGAGAGCTGAAATGAAATGTATGGAACAACATTTCATTCCCTTTGGAGGAAAAAGAAATTACACATGATCCTTCTCATCTTATCAATTTTCGTTTTGACAATTATTGAAGGAAATATACCTGTTTTTGTCATTCATGAAAATGTACAAAACAACAAACTGTCGCCTTATATTAAAAAGCACTTCCCTTTCAAGCTATTACACTGAAGAGACTTATAAAGTCTCCATTGTGACATAATTTAATCATCATTCTTTAATCAACAATGTCACGTTACCTGAATTTATATATAAATAAATGATATGGTATATTGACATGTGATGACCTGATAACCTCAATCATAATTTGGGTTCATCATTAAGAAAATGAGATGTTGTTTAGGGGTAAACAGTGATTGTATAGGTGAGGTGGACTAACAATTACAGTGTAACATTCAGGGATATCTAGTGATCCTACAGGCTGACTAATACTTAGTGTAACATTCAGGGATATCTATTGATCCTACAGGCTGACTAATACTTAGTGTAACATTCAGGGATATCTATTGATCCTACAGGCTGACTAATACTTGGTGTATCATTCGGGGATATATAGTGATCCTACAGGCTGACTAACAATTACAGTGTCACATTCAGGGATATCTATTGATCCTACAGGCTGACTAATACTTGGTGTATCATTTGGGGATATCTATTGATCCTACAGGCTGACTAATACTTGGTGTATCATTCGGGGATATCTAGTGATCCTACAGGCTGACTAACAATTACAGTGTCACATTCAGGGATATCTAGTGATCCTACAGGCTGACTAACAATTACAGTGTAACATTCAGGGATATCTAGTGATCCTACAGGCTGACTAACAATTACAGTGTAACATTCAGGGATATCTAGTGATCCTACAGGCTGACTAATACTTAGTGTAACATTCAGGGATATATAGTGATCCTCCAGGCTGACTAATACTTAGTGTAACATTCAGGGATATCTAGTGATCCTACAGACTGACTAATACTTAGTGTAACATTCAGGGATATCTAGTGATCCTACAGGCTGACTAATACTTAGTGTAACATTCAGGGGATTTCATGAGCAAGATTTATGTCAATGAAGTGCCAACTAAAATGCATATTTTTGTAAAAATTTCAGCCTCATGAAAATATCTTTCTTTTTTTTTATAAATTATTGGACCACCTCACCTTCTTCTTCACAACCATAGCTTGTTCTGCAGGCAGATAATCAAATGGGAAGATGAAACGCCAGTTGAAGTTGCCTTCACCGTCCAGAGATCGGTAGTGGACATCTGTCTCTTGTTTCTCGTCGATTCCAGAGATCCATCCCTTGACATAAATGTCACTCATCTGTTCACCGGTGATGGATTCCTCATCCAGCACGACATCCACGGTGTTCCATATGATACAACGCAGCACAAACCTAGCATTTAAATATGTTATAAAGGTCAAATTAAAAATAATTCATGGTCAAAAGTTAACGAGGTAAGTTTACTGACAGACAATTTCAGGTCAAAGGTTAACAAAGTAAGTTTACTGACAGACAATTTCAGGTCAAAGGTTAACAAAGTAAGTTTACTGACAGACAATTTCAGGTCAAAGGTTAACAAAGTAAGTTTACTGACAGACAATTTCAGGTCAAAGGTTAACAAAGTAAGTTTACTGACAGACAATTTCAGGTCAAAGGTTAACAAAGTAAGTTTACTGACAGACAATTTCAGGTCAAAGGTTAACAAAGTAAGTTTACTGACAGACAATTTCAGGTCAAAGGTTAACGAGGTAAGTTTACTGACAGACAATTTCAGGTCAAAGGTTAACAAAGTAAGTTTACTGACAGACAATTTCAGGTCAAAGGTTAACAAAGTAAGTTTACTGACAGACAATTTCAGGTCAAAGGTTAACAAAGTAAGTTTACTGACAGACAATTTCAGGTCAAAGGTTAACAAAGTAAGTTTACTGACAGACAATTTCAGGTCAAAGGTTAACAAAGTAAGTTTACTGACAGACAATTTCAGGTCAAAGGTTAACAAAGTAAGTTTACTGACAGACAATTTCAGGTCAAAGGTTAACAAAGTAAGTTTACTGACAGACAATTTCAGGTCAAAGGTTAACAAAGTAAGATTACTGACAGAGTTTTGATTGATGTAACTATACCTGTAATGGATTATGGATAATGTACTTACCCTGATGGTTTGCGTGGCTCGATGTTAAATGGTGAGCCTGGGGGTCCAAGTGATTTAGGGAAGATATCTACCCACATCTGTACCTTACCCTGTAAATCAGTAAACAGATGGTTAATATTTACAACATTGTTACAGGATTATCATAGAATATTGAGACTCCAGTCTTTCAGAATTTAAAACCACTTACGACTGGTAACATGCTCATTTTGTGTCAATGTTTTACATCAAGTATTGGTTACAAAAAGTGTCTATAAGTCTCTATCTTAATCAGGTTGTAAATTTTAAGTGACTCTAATAGTGTTGTAATATCTTATTTTATTACAACAGGTATCTATAGGTCTTATTGCATTAAATATGTTTTCAAGATACTAAGGATGATAATTTTTATTTTGTAAACTATTTTTGATTGAATATTTAGCAAGGATATGATCTAGCTACCTGAGCTATATCAAATACCTGACTGTACACCTCTATACCTGTTCTAAACCCAGCTGTATGACCTAGTTACCTGTGTATTCCTGTTAAACACCTATTTGTACATGTATATACCTGTTCTAAACCCAGCTGTATGACCTAGTTACCTGTGTATACCTGTTAAACACCTATTTGTACATGTATATACCTGTTCTAAACCCAGCTGTATGACCTAGTTACCTGTCTATTCCTGTTAAACACCTATTTGTACATGTTTATACCTGTTCTATACCCGGTTGTATAGGGTTGTACAAGGGACGTGTCTCTACATGCTCCTTGACGATGGGGAAGGTATTCAGCACATGAAGTGCAAGTCTCTCATCTGGCTGTCCAAGGTCAGGGTCAGATCGTGGATTCACCTCTGTTAATATGTCAAAAACGTATTACTTATATATCTACTTTTCTTATATTTGTAATTTAGCTAAAATAGAATTAGAAAGTCACATCAGACTTACTTTGCTATTTGTAAGTATTTTTCAGGAGATGATACAATAGCAATCAAAGACAATTAGCAAGTATAACGCAGATACAATACTACCTACTTCAGGTTTATTACACTGTTTGGCAGTTTGATGTCATAACAAGGTCTGCCACATTGCAGCCTCTATTTATAAACTTTATAATGCACATATATTGAACGGTCAAGGTCATGCATAAGTCTGGAGGTTTTATCTATAAATAGAAATTTTCAGAACTCAATATGTGATAGGTCGTACCGAAGTCAGACAGGCTGTAGGTTTTATTGGCGACCTTGACACTGTTGGTGCCGTAGAAGAGTGGGCCTGTTAGATGGTTTTTCTTACAGTACCAGTCCAAGATCTCCTTGGGTTTCTGACTGTCCCTCCACTGGTTCACCCCCGACCTGTTCATAATGTAGAGCAGAAATCTATACCAACACGTTCACAGAAAGATAATAGTGGGCTCCACCAACACTCTTCAGAAATAGATTGGAGCAACAGTTCATGTTTAACCTATTCACAAACATACAGTTGAGATCCCAGTGAAGAAAGTAACTTATAAATTCATTCATGTTGCATGGACTCTGGACTCGGATTGATGCTTTCATACACTTACATCTGACAAATTAAAAGTGATTGATAGAAATTGAATAACCTTTTTTTTGAGTAAATTAAATTATATCATATCAATAATATAAAAGAATATATAGGTTTATCTTGTGTATTGTCTACTGTACTGTATTTTGTATTTAGAAATAAAGTGACCAAATAGTAGCATTCACATTAACATACTTACACATAGTATGATTTGGGGATGCCACATGTGGCTCTGTGTTTAGACAGGAAGCGGTTCTCAAGGTCAATGATGGTCTCCCCAACGAGATCATCACTGCTAATGATGTCATAGTCCTTGATCCTAACTATCAGATCCTTCTTCACTGGTAGGGTACAGGTCAACTCAAACATCCTGTGATTTAAAGGTTAATCAAAGGTCAAGTCAACTCAAACATCTGTGATTTAAAGGTTAATCAAAGGTCAAGTCAACTCAAACATCCTGTGAGATAAAGGTTAATCAAAGGTCAAGTCAACTCAAACATCCTGTGATTTAAAGGTTAATCAAAGGTCAAGTCAACTCAAACATCCTGTGAGATAAAGGTTAATCAAAGGTCAAGTCAACTCAAACATCCTGTGATATAAAGGTTAATCAAAGGTCAAGTCAACTCAAACATCCTGTGAGATAAAGGTTAATCAAAGGTCAAGTCAACTCAAACATCCTGTGATTTAAAGGTTAATCAAAGGTCAAGTCAACTCAAACATCCTGTGAGATAAAGGTTAATCAAAGGTCAAGTCAACTCAAACATCCTGTGATATAAAGGTTAATCAAAGGTCAAGTCAACTCAAACATCCTGTGAGATAAAGGTTAATCAAAGGTCAAGTCAACTCAAACATCCTGTTGATCAAAGGTCAAGAATAAAGAGATTATAAGTACATACAGATGAAAGCTTCAGTTGAAACAGACAGAAAAAGGGCTACACCCTGGGAGAATTCCATCCTTTGAACTTGAATTGAATCTGATCAGCAATGTTTTTAAAATCTGACACAATGTAAACAATCAAACAAGCAATAAACAGATGCCTCAGTAAAATGAGAACTATTTAGAATAAAAACATTTCTGTTATGGGAACCAGACAATTATTCTATTACTAAACCGGTAACATACTTTCCAAATACAGGTTCAATGGAGTTAGGTATATAATCGTCTCGGCTGCTGACTTTTTTCTTTCCTAGTTCAATCTCCACATAGGGGTCAGCCTGCAATGGAAGGAAACTGTATAGAATTCATCTGAAAATTTCAGATTTACTCCACAAATAGTTGAATTTTATCCTCTATTAACAGCAATATCACTTATGGAATTTATATGATTAATTATCCAACTGTTATGAAGATATAAGGACAAATCTAGTTTTGATGACTGTATGTCCAAGCTTATGCCTCTTATTGATTATTGCCTTATATAGACAATGCACTAATGAGCTATACAGCCCAGTCTTTTCAAGAACCAAGCACTCTTCAAATTAACTGAACATTTTTCCATTTGAATTGACAGATTTTAGTCTGGTACCTAAATTTAATGGATGGTTTTAGCAATAAAACCTGATATATAAAATCTTACCAAACCGCTGGTATCGTTGGGCTGTAGACCGATGCCACAGATGACATACACACGTACAACACATTCCTCTGGTGTACTTGGGGGAAGATTACTGAATACCCGTTCTGGCAGTGGCTCGCTGGGGTCTGGAGGCAGTGGGTACACCCTGAAGGAGCCCTGCAACAGGAAGTACATACATAGATAAAAATACAGTGATTTACAGGGCTCACTAAGGTCTGGGGTCAGTTGGTACACCCTGATGGAGCCCTGCAACAGGAAGTACATATATAGACAAAAATACAATGATTTACTGGGCTCACTGAGGTCTGGGGTCAGTTGGTACACCCTGAAAGAGCCCTGCAACAGGAAGTACATACATAGACAAAAATACCATGATTTACTGGGCTCACTGAGGTCTGGGGTCAGTGGGTACACCCAGAAGGAGCCCTGCAACAGGAAGTACATATATAGACAAAAATACAATGATTTACAGGGCTCACTAAGGTCTGGGGTCAGTTGGTACACCCTGATGGAGCCCTGCAACAGGAAGTACATATATAGACGAAAATACAACGATTTACAGGGCAGTTATACACATATGAAATGTAACCTCCAGTTAAAGCCCTACCATACATGTAAAAGCATGGTGTTACAGGGCAAACACTGGTGTAATGACTTAATCTGTTCATGTTCAATCCTCACTGACCGTCGACTTCCGAGATCTATCAAACTTTGAATCTCTCTAAACTTTCATTTAAATCTTATTAACACTAACCTTGAACTGGCCGACAACATTTCCTTCTTCGTCTTCCTCATCTTTACCACGTGATAGGTCAAAGCAGTGACAGAAATCATCAAATGTCTTGTAGTTTTCCGACTTCTCCAGCTCGTTTGTATAAACCTATAGACAGAGGCAAATGTAAGACTTGTATGTATGAAATACTGTAGAGAAAGCTCTAGATATTTCTCACTATATACCTTTTATGTTCCTAGGATGTTAATACTGTCAGGACTATAAAATCTAAGTTTGAACCAATGTTCTGTTTATCTTGATGTTACTATTTTTTGTTTTGGGTTTGGGGGTCATTTTTGTTGGTAAGAGACGTTGGTAAGAGACGTTGGTAAGAGATGTTACCATATGATAAACATGCTTGATTATGGCCTTGACATCTTGAACTTTATGACCTTGATATTTCTAAAAGTGTAACCTTGACCTTGTATGCCTGGTCTAGTATTAAGGATATGATATTGATTTTTCTGAAAGTTAAATTTTGACTATGAATGACTTACGTTTGTACATTAGTATCAAGTATATATGACCTTGACAGTAAAACCTTGACATTGAATAACTAATTTAGTACTAGGTGGTTAATAACCTTGACATTTCTTACTGTGTATCCTTGAATAACCTACCTTGACCTTGTCCATTCCTTTCTGGATATATTTGCGACATTTTGTTGTGTCCCCTATCGAGGCGTAATATTTGGACCACCAATCTAACTCTTCAATATCCTTAATCTCAGACTGTTAGAAATAAAGTCATTACAATCTATCAACATGGGTTGAGAATTGATACATCAAATGATTCATTCACTTGTCATCTACAACAAAACACATCTTATAACACAAATGGTGGTTAAGTTTGTAGGTCAGACAGTAACATAGTAAGTTTAAACAATTGAAATTACAAATGTAATACTTTCCACACCTCTACGTCCACTGGTAGGAAAACTACACACAGACATGGGTAAGTTTGAAGATATTTTGATGAGACAATGATAAATATTGTTGTAAAGTGAAGAGACATCAATTATAAATATATATTTATGATTTTCAAAACATGATTTTGCAAATCTTCATGTACTTGTAACATGCACATGAAGCTCCAACACTGTAAAAAAATGATTTATCAATTTTTAATTTAATTTGCATTAGAGAATCATTCAACCTTAATGTGTCAGTTTGTATTAAAATCTTAATTGAAAATTTTGTAAAATGTGCAAGAAATAGAAATAATTATATCAATAAAAAATACAATAAAAAATGGATTGAAAAGTATCATGCAAATGTTTAAAATTACCTAGGTAGGTAGCACAACAGGCATTCAGAATAAGTATAAATATATAAAGATTCTTCACACCCAATCAATGGATGGTAAGTGGCTTCACTCCATGAAGACGTGATTCTAACAATCCTAATGTTTAATTGATGAAGACGTGATTCTAACAATCCTAATGTTTAATTGATGAAGACATGATTCTAACAATCCTAATGTTTAATTGATGAAGACGTGATTCTAACAATTCTAATGTTTAATTGATGAAGACATGATTCTAACAATCCTAATGTTTAATTGATGAAGACATGATTCTAACAATCCTAATGTTTAATTGATGAAGACATGATTCTAACAATCCTAATGTTTAATTGATGAAGACGTGATTCTAACAATCCTAATGTTTAATTGATGAAGACATGGTTCTAACAATCCTAATGTTTAATTGATGAAGACATGATTCTAACAATCCTAATGTTTAATTGATGAAGACATGATTCTAACAATCCTAATGTTTAATTGATGAAGACGTAATTCTAACAATCCTAATGTTTAATTGATGAAGACATGATTCTAACAATCCTAATGTTTAATTGATGAAGACGTGATTCTAACAATCCTAATGTTTAATTGATGAAGACGTGATTCTAACAATCCTAATGTTTAATTGATGAAAATAGAAAACATGTAACATTTTCATGGCTCTTTTGTTTCCATGGCCTTTTGTTTCCATGGCCTTTTGTTTCCATGGCCTTTTGTTTCCATGGCCTTTTGTTTTGCTCTTCCTCCCCCTCCATCAACACACATGAAATGACATTATATGAATATGATAAGACCTACAAATGTAGGTTTATCTCATGATTTAAGAATATTGATGCTATCTTAAATCACCAAAATGAAGTGGAAAATTAATGCTTACCAAAGGTTTTTACTTAAATTGAAAATGAATTAACAATTTCCCCATGCTAGAAGATCATTCAGTAGATGTATCGACAGACTCAATCACTTAATCAGGCACACTGCTATCCAGAAGGTTATTAAGATTACAGCCCTATTCTTCCAAACAGACACATCTCATGTGCTTTCTGAGCAAGCATCACCATATCAAGACAACATTAATGGCTCATTAAATGGTTTTAAAGGCAATTGATAATGATAAAAACCCATCACAATTCATGATAAAAACACATCACCATTCATGATAAAAACACATAATAAATTATTTCTTAAAAAAAGAAGAAGACTGCAGACATTATTTACAAAGACAAGGTCATACAGAAAAAAAATCTACATTAACAAGAGATCCTACAGGGATCTTGGCACCCGCCATTGTTTGGTACGTAAGTTCTTTAAAAGTTGCATAATTTTCCTTTCTCATATTCTTTCCTCTGTTTTGCTCTTAATCACTTGAAATTTGAAAAATTCTCTTCAGAGGTAGTGTTGGTAACATCTTTAACTTTCAAATCCAAAATTGTTGCCTCTCAGTCACTTTTCCCCCTGATCAGTCCCAAAATGGCACCACTAGGGACAAAGGGGTATGTACATATAAAATTTTAGAAGATTCATCTTGTACTTCTCAAGAAATAGTGATGACAAGTTTTCATTGTCAAAATCCATGATGGTCACTTGTCAGCCTTTTTTTTTTCTTTCTGATCAGTCTCACAATCTTATTGGCACAACCATTGCCTGTCAATGATTAGAGATGGATGGACAGAGGACAGATGACGCACCACAGACATAGGGCGATTTGAATAGACCATCATCTGATGATAGGGATCTAAAAACGAATGGTCTTTAACCTCAAGCAAAGTGAAAGCCCAATCTCCCAAAGGTCATTGTATCTTGTCTTCACCTAACAGCTCAGATGTTTCCACCACCCTACACAATGTTACAGAAGATTGTAAATAAGATCGTAATGACAGTCTAAACAAGCTTGATAATTCAAGATAAAAGTGTTCTGCAGATGATCAAATCTCAGACTTTTTTATATCATAAGATTGTTTGATTTTCAAAGCAATAAATACTTTTATTTAAGAGTTTTCACTGCAAACATTTACTACAATGATTCAAGACATCATTATCTCAGTGCCAACTGAGTGACATCAAGATGCCAGTAATAAGCTGTAATACCATATAAGGATTTCCTAACTAATGTGATATATGCACTGTTTAACAGCAAGTGAAATGTGTTCAATACCAGCTAAGTTCTTGAGTCAATGGTTCTTATATACAAACTTGCGATATCTGTCAATATGCCAACAGGCTTTTAGCTACCAATGACATAGACTAAATTTATTACCAGACTTAGTATGACCTTTCTTTGTTCTGTATTTCATAAGGTTGTGTTCTAAATTTAAGGTCAAGTATTCTAAATCGGAAATTTGATCAACAGGAAATCAAATGTGTTTTGGTTCTGATTGGTTGAAATCTAAATTCTGAAGGAAGTTATTTGATTCATATACATATATTTGTTACATTATTTATACCTTTTGTTGTGTTTTTCTATCCACATGGATATTTTGTAGGGCAGGATACTTTCTAACTAATCAATAGGTCAGATGTTTACTGTCCATGCTGCAGAAAGTTCCGAGCAAGCTGTCCACGGCTCACCACAAGTGCAGTTATTTGGTTTATGTTGGTATATACAGAATATCATTAAGTGCACGCTGCACTCACTATTAAAGCTTTCTTTAAGAATGAGCTATACAGACTTTCTCTGATAAACTGTATCTCACTAACTTCTCTTTATTTTCTGTTATCTTGTGTACTTCACTGCATTACTGCCGGTAACACTGGCATATAATAATAACTTTGTTGTGTTTCTTGTTTGAAAATACAGAATCATGGATAATTTTTTGTTGTTTTTGACATGTCAGACTATAGACCCCAGTGAGTACACTGTTGAGTATTGATGGACTATAGAAGGTGTCCCACTTCAGCCTTGTGCCTTATATAGTTTACAACACCAGAGGAAAGTTAGAGTCCAATGAAGAACGAGAATAACAAAATGTTGTGATATCCAGAGGATTGCAAACCTCCTCATCCTTGCGCTTGGACTTCTTAAAAGATGGTAAATCTAGCTGAGGGAATGTCATCTTCTTTATCCCCAATATTGATTTGGCACTCTTTGTAAAACAAATCATCACAAAATATCACATCAATTCTGTGGTTCCAATTTACTGATATTTATACAAATACATGTATAACAGGTGAGATACTGATCACTGGTAGAAGAGTTTAAACTGTTTTCAAGGTCTTTTGAAGGGTGCTCATTAGAAAGAGTTAAAATATATATTCTTATCAAGCCACCCTATATTCTCCAATAGAAATCTTTGCAGGGTTAAGGGAAATCTTTGTTACATTTCTATTGAACCCCTTAGTAACCATGACAACATCTAGTCTGCACCAACAACACACCACCTAGGTAGTACTCAAGCGAGCTACATGTAAGGGAGGTAACTAAAGGAATTTGGGATGTTAATAAACAGGGAGGAACACCCTCCATTTCTACCATAAATCACCTTTCTCTTTTCCCTGGATAATGCAGATGAAATCTTGGCTCTAGCTTTACCAAACCTTCCCTACAGTGTAACAAAGGACTACAGCATGGATATCAAAACACTTACAATATAGAACATGGTCTGTTGTTACTTCTAATTATGGTATTGCATAACATAACAAAATTTGAAATAAATGAATAAAAAAAAATCACATCCTTTTTCACTATAAAAGTATATGAAAGGATCCTTTCAGTATCATTTCTGGTTATATTGCAATGTCAGCCATCTCAACATTTTTCTTATAGATGTGAAATCAGGCTTCATTCAAATCAACAACTGAGGAAACAAATTATAGAGATTACAAGGGAAATCCTTTAGTTTCACATATATATGATTTAGACATGCCTGTTAGCTGGTTGCCAGCAGCATTGCTGTCAGTTTAGATATTACATTTAAGTAAGAGACTTGGCCTGTCTTTAATGCACATGTTGGAACGGTACACAATCAAGTGACTTGTCTACTTGGCCAATAATAAAGGGGAGACCATTCTGGTAAGAATTAAGTTTGGATTACATAAAGACAATATATGCTTTTAATAAAGTCATGTAACTGTATCATTGCTGAACATTTTGTGTGTTAACATAGAGTATAATTCATTGTCCATGTGATTAATACTAGACTCCTCTGTCTTGTACCTACCTTGGTTTTATCGTCCGCAGGCATATCAATGACTGTGTCACCACCTGGTCCATTACCCACAATGCCTCCTGGCAGCGAAAATAAAGACAAAACATGAAATAAATATGATATCCTGTAAACTTCCTGACATGCAACAGAGCGGGTTTTTTTTATTTGACTTTTTCTCAAATTTCATTTTACTTTTATCTTATTTAAGTCCATAAAAGTCAAATGAATTACATTGATCACATGTTCGACATGCAAAGATTTAAGAAATTCATCTTTTCCAGAACTCAGAACAACAATTATAAAAGTAGATAAAAGATTCTACAAAACGCTTGCCACGGAAACTACAACAATAAGCTGTGTGTCACTGTTTACTCCGGGGGGTGAGACAACATACCAAAGACACCCTGAGGGGCCATGGATCAGGGTTATTGTAGGTCACTATAGGAGTTTTCGAAATTTAAAGGTCACCAAATGCAGCGACAAAAATATTAAAGATCAGGATACCAATGGAGAAGTTTAACAGAGACAAGAAAAAAAATTATTTGGATTTTGAAGATTCAATAATTTCTATGTCTTAGAGACAGTAGGGAATTTTAACTGGAGATTCATCTAAATATAGAAAAGTGTTACATGTTAGAAACATTTGACAAACTGAATGCTTTCAGTCAGAGTGAAAAACTGAAGATGTACAAGTATTAGTAAATTCTCCAAATATTCAATGCTGCAATAACACATGCACTTAATGCAGACAAAATAAGCTATTACAAAACAGCAAAATTTCTGAAATGGCATTTAGGGCTTAATTTTCCAGGTGATAACTGCACCCAGGTGAAGGCTGACAATGTTGTTAATTTTCAGGTATTTGTTTCCAACATTGAATATTGGCAGTTCCTAACCTGTATACCTAAGAGAACACAGGGACATGTAACTTACTAGAGATAAACAAAAATCAGATATTAGAAGTTTCAATACTGTATCATAATATGTAATGGGCAGTTGACTCTAACAAAGGTATGTGTAAGCTTTACTCAATGTCTATCATTAGTAAGGGGCAGGTAACTCTATATGGAGGTATATAAAAGGGTAGATAACTCTGATCACACCCAGCCACAAGATGTCTTTGAAGGAAGTATCTAAAAGAGTATGATATCACAGTTAAAAGGGGCAGATAACTATATATGGAGGAATACAAGGGTAGATAACTCTGATCACACCCAGCCACAGGAGGTATTTGTAGGATGTATATAAAAGGGTATGATTTAACAGATAATAGGGGCAGATAACACTTTATGGAAGTTTATATCCAGCCAAAGGATGTCTTTATAAGAGGTATAGAAAACGTTATGATATAAAGATAAGAGGGAAGGCAACTCTATGTGTATACATGGGTAGATAACTCTGATTATATTTAACCACAGGGTGTCTTTAGCAACTAGCTACTCCAGCATCAACAACAGAAGGTTTTGATAGGCACCCTATCATCCTACAGATTCCCTTAGGATTTTATTACTTTTGAATTTCAACGTTCTTAAGAAATGAAAATCTTACAATACATGTTACTATTAGAAATTCAATCACAGCATGTACCAGTATTTTCACATTAACAGTGCCTCAAAGTGCCTTCTTTGGGGTTGATTTAGGAAAAGTCTTCAGCAACTCAAACTACAGGAGCATGCACTGAGCTATAAAGGCCTGCAGTCTGTGAGAGTCTAACAAAATATGTACATCATAATCAAGTGTGAACACAAGGAGAGCATATGTGTCAATGCTGGTGCTAGATATAAGCATATTCATAGGTTTGAAAAGGTATGTCAATGTTTTGAGACATCAAATGATGACGTTTTATCATGTAACATTTCATGGCAAATTCTTGAAATTCCATGAATACTGACAGAATTCGTGTACTAATGTACTATGTCATAGTTAATTAATTTTCATTGTAAAAAGCTTGCGTAACCATGAATCCTATCCCTGTCTCCATATAAATAGCTACCATAAGCAAAGTAGCATCCGCTTGTTAACACAGAATATTATAGATCTTTAACCAGCGAGTGTATGATTGTGGGTGTGTATATGGATTGTAAGCATTGCCACGGTACAACCTTAGAACTCTTGATTTGTAAACCTATACTTATAACTACCATTACAAAACATTAAACACAAGATTTATGCATGATCATATTTAACCTGTCCAGCTTTTCTTCAGTAAAATACAACATACAATGCATAGAATTTTTGTCACAGGGGAGACAATACAATCAGAATGTTAACATGCTTCTAAACACTGAAAATTACATAGAATCATCAACTGTTTATATTTTTTCTTACATCATTGAGCTTAAGGGGATGTTGCTTTAGTATAAACAGCTATATTTAGTGTAGGGGGTGGAAAAATCAGCTGCTATCATCACTACTTATCTGGTACTGGAAGATGGGCAAGTGTGCAGGGCCAGAGTGGGGTACTCAAGGGTGGGGCCTAATGTGGTGGTACCAGTGTGTGGGAGGCAGTGCAGGGGAAGTAGAAGCTGTGGAGGGAGATGTTATGTGTTTATGCCTTCATAACAGCAGCAGCTGTTCACACTTGGACCACAGCAGCAGATACACAGTAGGGTAGCCAGTATAACTTAGTTATGTCAACTAAAGGAGTTATTAATGGAAACAATCTCACAATATGCTTTATCACTTATAGTGTTTCTCCCTGTAGGTACCCTTAATTTAATCTATTAAAATGTAAAATCATCTTCTCTCTCAGTCGTAATAGAAAGCATTTGCTTGATTAAAAAAAACAAATCCAAACAAGATGGCTCCTGCATTGATCTTACCTGTGTGGTGAGACATCCATCACGCTCGTGTTGAATTCCACACTCACCCATGCACACAGCTAAGATATATTAATTCTTCACAGACATATTTTCATCATATAAATGCAACAAGCTACTAAAGCTATGTATTTACCTTCCGCTGGCTGTAAGCATAGATAAACGATAAGTATATATACTTCAGGTAATTAAAGTCATGTGACATGCCCTACGTAAGGTCACATGACAATTCTACATTAAACCACATAACAAGCCCCTTTCAAGTCCTATGAGAAGCCCTACATTCAACCACCAGACTAGTACTATCTCACACAGAGTCTAAACCCAGACAGAATATTCTGACTGCCACCATATCCCCATTCTACCTGCCTTACAAACTTTTCTTCTGTAGTTCTCAAAATTTCATTTGTAACATGTATTGTGGGAACACATCACATATATTTTTTGTCACTCGACATCCAGCTACACTGATCTTTCAATTTCCATTTAAAACATTCATAAAGTATGTTACTTTTGAGTCTTGGATTTATGATAATGACCTATGATTTGTATATTTGCTGAAATTAAATGAAAATTTGTGATAAACTAGTGTATTAACTTGGAACAAACAGTAAGAAAAGAATCCGCCCTCCTCAGACCACAACCATTGACTCTGTTTAAGTATACACAACATTTGACCAGATATCCCTAGTATATGAAACTTGTTTTTCTCACTTTTTAACAATATCAAGATTCATCAAAATCACTTACATCAAATAGAATTACATGTAAATACATCAAATAGAATTACATGTAAATATTTTAACAACATCATATTATTCCCCAGTAAGCAAATATCTGGTAACAAACTAGTATCTGTCCTCTCCCATTAATTGTCAGATTTAAAATGTTCACTTCTGGCCCATTTTTGGTTAAATAGAAGAACAGATTTGATTATAACAACATTTTTGAAGATGAATAAATATCATTCCTTCTTTCAAGAAAACATATGTATATTGTTAGTACAGTGACTTTCTGTTGGTATATTAATTCCTTATAATCTTTACTTACTGGTTAGTTATCATCATTACACCATAAAGCTGTTAGTGAGAGCTCATCAACATATCAATCATGTGCAGAGAGAACCAGCATGGGGAAGGGTTTATAAATGTTCCTATCAAATTTGTATCTTTTATCGATATGGAGTTCAAACATATACAACATTGAAAATTGAAGAAAAATATAAAAAAAATTAACACTGAATAGTTTTATAAGAAAAAAATCATGCCAAGATTTGTATATCATAATCATGTGATAATTCTACGTAAAATTACTACAGCTAATTAAGTAAATGTATCCTGAGGTATAAAACCTGCTATTTCTAAAAAAAAAAGAGGATAATCTGTGCTATGAATAGCACTGGGATATCTTCAATGCTACTGAATCTGTAACATTTCCTTACAAAGAATGAACCAGTATGGTTAGTCTTCATTATCAATGATTCAAATGTTGTAGAATTAAGTGTTTAAATCTAACACTAGTCTAAGTGTTTATTTCTACGGCTTGAGGTACAACAGTAATTACTTGTAAATATTTCCTCCTACTAGCTAGTGTTTATCACATCTATCATACTGAAAAGAACTTAATTATTAACAAAAGTTTTAAAAAGTTATTAGTGGTGGAGCTGATTATAATTAATAGAGTGTCGAGGGGCCAGGGGTCTAGAGGAGAGGGTGTCTCACCCCCTGAGTATCCGCCACTGAGGGTCCCCGTGTCAGCTCGCTGTGAGATCTCAGAGAGCCTCTGAGTGGAGATGTCTAGCAAAGCTACAAAAGGAACTGAACCGTGATCATCTTCATCCTGGGCTGTAGCTGTCACTGCTGGCTGGCAGCGGAACTTTTCAAAGGTTTTCAAAACATGTATTCCAACTGTCGGCTTGCGGCCAAACTGACGATGGTCCCTCACACGAACATTCATAGGTGGCATGTACAACTCTTCTCGGGGCAACATCTGCAGACAAGCAAAAATACTTGTACAATCTTTTATGATAGTGTGGCAGGATCTATAATTATAATATTTGTATTGAATTGTCTCAGTATTGTATTAGTCTTATTTATTAGTTTCGTTTATACTGTATGCGTCTAAGTGTTTAGTCTAGTTTTCGTCTGCTTATATCGTATTGTTTGGTCATTGGTCAGTTTTGTCTTTGTCTTACGTCACAATCTTGTGTCTTATTTGATTGGCTCTTGTCCATTTCGCGCTTTTTGTTTGTTCCAGTCATTGTCTGACTGGACAGTGAGGTGACCAGAGAAATTGTAAAGTCGTGCGGGTGAATATCTGCAAACCTCATGTATAACTAGTTAATCTCTTGTCACCTGCAATAAAAACCAGGTTAATGGTTGAGAACTTACGAAGGTGTTGTTGTGGTGTTTTGCCCATAACCCGACCCAGTAACAATAGGATCGTAAAAATATTGTCTAAATTTTATTTTTGTATTTTTTTATTGAATTTCTACAAATGAATCAATACTATAAAAATTTACCGTAATTTTAGTAATAAAAGTGACAAACAGAAATCCGACATCAAAACTGAAACTCATAATACAATCATTTGTAATCTCCTGATCAAACAATGATACGGAATTATATACCAGTATCTAAATATAAGCTTTTAATAGGATAATTACTATTACAAATATAACACTGTAAAAACTATCAACTATTTCTATGTTCAAACCAACCATGGATTATCATTTAACTTAACTGGCTTAGTATCTTGGGGAAAATTTGACAGCCAGTTTCCAGAAAAATCAATTCAAATACATTATATTATACATATACCGTAATATTATTACAGTCTTTGAGCTAATGACTTCTCTGACACAAGTAAAGCTAATTCTTATGTAAAATTCTTATCTGAGTAATTTGATATATGACCATTTATCTTACCACATCGAAGAAGAGAACAGATTCCTCAAAGTTCGGGTTTTTCTTCGTGTTTTTGATGACCTTGGATGAGACCAAGTGGCCACCACATTCAAACTCAATACTAGGGGAGGTAACTGCTGCCAGCTGGAACTTCTTCATATTCCTCACCCCCCAGCACAGCACCTATTAAATGAGATTTTCACAGTTAATAAATCGATATTAGCATCAGATGACATCATGACATATCAAACTGATCAAGTTAAAATTTGCAAAATTGATGAATGAAATTCAATTTTTATTATTTTTTGTTCCAATCCAAAGTTACCAGCCCATCACAAAAAAGTAATACTCCAGTAAAGATCAAACTCACCTCCACACCAGTTCTCTGCATAACAGGTCGTATACCATTGGGAACAAGGAACAAGTTTCCTTTCTTTGGAGGCAAGAATGGCAGATCACCCCCTCCAAGCTACAAAATGGATCTCAATTATTAATTATCAAAAATATAATCCTCTTGCTAAATATGAAGATATGACAACATACAAACAATGACAATGTAACTGTCGGTAGTTTTTCTGGTTTTGTATCTTAGAAACAGTCAAGTGAGGACTGTGTCCAGAGAATGGGGCCATTCAGTGGTGTACTTGTAGTGTCATCACACTGAAATATCATAGCCTGGACATAGTAGCATTATAGACATCCAGTCAATCATTGTCTGGAACTAATCACTCCCCAACACAATATATTAAACTGCTGATTATCAAACAGAAAGGAGAAAGCAACAGAACCCTCCTTTATCAGATATTCAGCACTCCTTAACACCATATCTTTCACAGCTGAACATCACCAGAGACAAGAAAGTAATATCTTTTCTTTTGTTGGGTCCAAGGACAGAAGCCTCCTCTAGCAGACATACCTCTATATACAAAATTAGGTAAAAATCAGACAATATTTAAATTTCGACCAATAAGAAGCCACCACTTGCTCAGCATAGATTACATAACAATAAAGCCTCTTCAAGCTGAACATTGAAGAGAGACAAGAAAGAACCATGCCTCATTTTGTCTGGTCCACGGACAGAACACGCCTTTTACAGACATTCAACACTCTCTAACACTACATCTTTAACATGTGAACATCAACAGAGACAAGAAGAGCAATCTTTTATTTCATCTGGTAAAAGCCTCCATTAGCAGACATCTGAAATTAAGTCCAAATGTGATAAAAGACATTTGGAAACACAGAGTGCGGTAGAACAAAATGTGTTACAACAGGTAAACAGATTTATACTGTAAACTTTGAATTCAGAAAGAAGGGAGTATGTTGATCAATCCTAAAACCTTCAGGGTTATACATACAGTTGTCTTTTACAACATAACAATGGGAACCTTTAGGACATCATTAGAACACAAAAGTTCATCTTACAAAGGAAAACTACAATGTACTGGGGTATTTATTATTATGTTAACAACATAGAACAATTATTGGTTTAGCTTAAAATATCACTTCAACCAATATTTTTCCAAAGTGTTCAAAGAAAGTATTGAGTTAAAACAAAACTGATATAAAAAACACAAGCAAAACGAAAAAAATGTGTAAAAACTTTGCACTGTGATATGACAAATTTCATAAATTTTCTTAGTTCAAATGACAATAACTCTGTATAAAGGTATAAAGGACCTGAATGTAAAACAATTTAATAAAATGGCACGTGGAGTGACAGTAAACAGTTAATCTTAATTAGATTGAATCCATCAAGGAAGGATAACAGATCATAATATATTTATCTGCATGCCTGACAAAAACTACAAGGAAAACTGAGGCGGGCCCAACAGCCAGATAATAAACCTATAGTTGCCCCCGTCCCAGGGCTTCTCTAGTACATATTAATAAACCTATAGCCTCCCCAACTCCAGGGCTTCTCCAGTACAGACTACTAAACCTATAGCCTCCTCTACCCAAGGGCTTCACCAGTACAGACTTATAATCATATAGCCTTCCCTACCCAAGGGCTTTACCAGTACAGACTACTAAACATATAGCCTCCCCTACCCAAGGGCTTCACCAGTACAGACTTATAATCATATAGCCTCCCCACCCCAGGGCTTCACCAGTACAGACTTATAATCATATAGCCTCCCCACCCCAGGGCTTCATCAGTACAGACTAATAATCATATAGTCTCCCCACCCCAGGGCTTCATCAGTACAGACTAATAATCATATAGCCTCCCCACCCCAGGGCTTCATCAGTACAGACTAATAATCATATAGCCTCCCCTACCCCAGGGCTTCACCAGTACAGACTTATAATCATATAGCCTCCCCACCCCAGGGCTTCATCAGTACAGACTAATAATCATATAGCCTCCCCACCCCAGGGCTTCATCAGTACAGACTAATAATCATATAGCCTCCCCACCCCAGGGCTTCATCAGTACAGACTAATAATCATATAGCCTCCCCACCCCAGAGCTTCACCATTATAAACTAATAATCCTATAACTTCTCCACCCCAGGGCTTCACCAGAGGAAGATTTTTTTAACCTATATCCTCCCCCACCACAGGCCTTCACAAGTACGGACTACTAAACCTATATCCTCCCCCACCACAGGCCTTCACAAGTACGGACTACTAAACCTATATCCTCCCCCCACCACAGGTCTTCACAAGTACAGACTGATGAACCTATATCCTCCCCCACCACAGGCCTTCACAAGTATAGACTGATGAACCTATATCCTCCCCCCACCACAGGTCTTCACAAGTACAGACTGATGAACCTATATCCTCCCCCACCACAGGTCTTCACAAGTATAGACTGATGAACTGTTTTTTTTTCCATCACCTTTTGTTGCAACAAGAATGTGAAAGACATAAAAAATAAGTAAAGCTGTGCATGATGCATTCTAATGTGATTTGGTAGACCTTGAAAGTCTTGTTTAATTCAAGTAAATGAATTTTAATGAAGACTCCCCTAACACCACACTGGGATCTCCCAGGTGTTTACACCAACCTTTCTATAAGATGCTTTGCCATTGCCAGGAATCTACAGTAATCACTTTTCTAAATCAAATGCTTTCTCAACAGTACATTTATCATTTATACAGATCCTATTCTGGACACTGTAAAAGTGTTATTTTTGAGCATGGAACACCAGTGCGAAATACATCAAATACATTCTTATTTAATCAATACAGGAAGCTGCAGTCTGTTTCCTGACTTCAGTGAAGAATACATAGCTTTTTTCTTCAAGCTTTTGGTAAAACTACAAAAATTTGAACCTCTGAAATAATCCACATTTACCATAACAGTAGCTGAAATGATTCCTGAAATAGTTTACTATATTCAGTTATAATCATAGTTTCATTTCTTACTTTATATTTTCCTCTTTGATACTGCATACTCAAAACCTTTCTTTCTATTCAATTTTCTTTAAATCAATTTATAACATGAAAAAAATTAAACTATCTAGTATCCTCACCAGGAAGAGCTCGAAGGCGGCCAGAAGCTCCCCTCCCTCCTCATTTCCTCGTCTTATGTCATACCACTGTAGGACTGGCATTCTTGCATCACTTGGATCCAGCTTTACCATTGGTGTGGCTCGTGCTCGACCCAGGAACTCATTGGACCCCTAAGTTAGGAAGGGAGATAACAAATATAACCACAACTATATGACAAAATGAACCATTAGCAGTTATTATAGCAAAGTAATTTTGTAAAGAAATTTAGTTTGAAATATGAATGTATATTAAGAAATGTGTGCTGATGCCTATGTAACACTTGTTTGTTCCATTTTATCTAATATCTAGCTAAATAGGGTCTACCCATCTGACCTCTATCTGTTATTAAGTATAAAAGAAAGCCCTATCATGGGTATAATTGTCACTCTTCATACATTCCCCTGTATGTATACACTGAAACTACACTGATACAAGGAAACTGTATTGGACTTTATTACAACTACAAATCTACTCAGAAGATTTCCCTTCAACAAGATAGTTTTCAGTCTCTTAACGGAGGTTATGGATAGAAGACTTTTGAAAAAAATATAACTGCTTTAATTTCTAAAACTATTCTCGACAAAAAAAGCCCTATTCACGAATGCATGGTGTTTTTTATTGATAATTGGTAGCTTATTGTGAAGTGGCAAGACAATTACACCAAAAAAAGGGGAGAGGATTTTTATAAGGGAAAGCGTTTTTTATCAGCTGAAAATAGGATACAGACCCAATTGTCATACAAATTTCGCTTTAACAGATTCTTCTGTGACTGGGTTTAGAAAAGTTTTGGCTCATTATCCCTGACTAAACCAGTATTCTGCATGCCAAGTGTTTCAGTCTGTCTTGACATCAGTAAAAAGTTTCTATCCCACAGATAGAAATAAAAGTCACACAATACCTGTAACATACCTTACAAGGTATCTGTACTTACCAACTTGTCGTGGTCAAAAATCTCCACAAATATCTCTGGTGGCTGAGTCTCAATGGTTTTGGGATCTCCATAAATCTCAAATTCTTCAAAGATGATAGTTTGATCCCAGGTAGGGCAAAGAGACTTGTGGATCTTTTCTGTCACTCCACTCTGAGTCAGCAGTGATATCCGTGCATATGGATCTGGAATGTTCAACTCATCACATGAGCAAATATATACTTACTAATCTATAACCCTTACTTCCATATGTTACCCTCCAAATTGTTCACTGCTGTCGAATGTGTGCAGTTCAGGTTTTCATATAATCTTGTTGAGGAAACACTAACATATATACAGAGTTTAAATATAATTATATTGATTAAATTTTGAATGTTTCATTACAATATAAGTTGATTAAGATATCGGGTTATTAACACGACTGGATACTTACCAGACAAACCTGACTCATCCCCAGCTAACAGATCTCGGGCTTGGTAAACATATGCCCTCAGCTGGTATTTGTAGGATTCTATAGGAACAAAAAGAAACTACTATTGTCAAGTAATGCACAGAAGGAGGAAAATCAAAGCTGCAGATAAACATTTCAGTGGTCTCAGGGCCCAGGGTGACAATATTACTGCAAAAGGTCACCGCCTAACTAAACTGTTATAAATTTCATAAGATAAGGTCAACACCTTACTGTTGAAGGTCAAGGTTACCAATCAATTATCAAAACTCAAGGTGAAGATCACAAGCTTCCTATCAAAACTGAAGGTCAAAGATAAGATTTCAAGGTCACAAACTTTTTTTTTCTGATGTGAAAGTCACTTACTGTCAAAGGTGAGGAACATCCTTGGAGCTGTCAGTGATGCTACACCGTCCTTATCATCGTCATCCTAAAAACAAATAAACATTCGGTTACAAAAATCACTACCACAGCACATTAGAAAAATAATGCCTGGTTTACTTACACAGTAATTAAACACAAATAATCCTTTAACTTTTTGATGTGTTTTAAAACCTTAAAATACAAAATATCAAACTCGCTTGGCTTGGATGCCTTCACAGATTGTCTATAAACAAATACAGAGTCTGATGTTATGTACAATTTACTAAACAATCTCTCCGTCTGTGTCCATACTGTTAATTACTAACGAAGGCCCTTGCATGCTGATCAAATTCTTAGAGTCCCATATTACATCTTCTTGTAAGTTACATGAAGCCATATCATAAACAAGCATGGCGGTCGTTTCAGAATTTGACCTATTACCCGCTGACCTATCGATCCCAGGATGCAAAAGGCTATTGTAAACCTCTGCTATGGCTTTGAAGTTACCGCTAAAGTCCAGAAGATATTATTGTGATTCATATCAAGATGTATGAGTAATTAAATCCACGAGAATGTTATTTTCATTTCAATTATCAAATCATTCTGTATATGTGACGGGGAGGTACTCTTAAAAAAAAAAAAAATCAATACTGTCTCGTACTGGTGCTACCTATTTCCTTTTTTCACCCACATATAAGCCGCAATGCATGCCTCGCTAGGAAAAAGGTGCAGCTTATAATTCAGAAAATATGGAACATCCAAACAGGAAATATAAGTGCTAATTAGTAAATATCTGATTGTTCTCAACTTTGAAGTTTGCAGACAACTCAAAATCACTAGGATGGAATCAACATCTGTTCTGAAATTGATTTTTTAAGTACAGATCTCTTACATCTGTCTGCATGCTGAAGAAGCAGCTTGCCCCAGGTGTCTCTGCCACCATCTTACGGTGCCAGCGACGGCGGCGAACCATGTCCATTGTGTGCTCCTTGCAGTGGAACTTCATGTTAAAAAGAGGAGCATACTCCCAACCATCAGCTTGTTCTTGTGACTTCTTCATCTGTTAACATAAACACAGTGAATATCAGAAACTCTCATGAGAGGATCCTTATGGCCCAACACAGTTGTACACTTCTCTGACAACAATTCTTTTAACTTGTACAGAACATTATACAATGATGTAGAACTAGTTTGAGATGATTAAACTTCAGTAGTTCTTTTTAGGATTTAGGACCAAAAGCAGCAAACACCCAAAGACTAGCGAACCACGCTGACAATTGAAATACAAATAGTAAATTGTAATTAAAATGTAAAACTTCACATCATTAACAACAAGTTAGCAATAAAATGTATAAAAATATCACCATTCCAAAGAAATCATATCATATAAAACAGAACTTTCTGTAATAGGATCGAAAAAAGGGAAACAATTATCAGATCTACAAATTACTCCAAGATGTCACTGAAATATACAACTTCATCAGTCACTATGATATGTTGGACAAGTGTCACAGCTAATGTTTTACTTTATACACAAAAAGAATGCAAAACAAATAAAAACAAAGAACAGAAATATTGAAACCATTTGGGTACAATACAAAAACTCAATAAAACATGCTGTCAACCATTACTTCAAATTAAGTCAAATTTTAGGCAGATGATTTATATCAAACACATATTGGAAATAGTTCACCAGCATAATGCATACACAACAAGTTAATGACATATAAACAACAGACTTAACAAGAGTATCCCAGGTATACCAAGAGTATCACAGGTATACCAAGCGTATCACAGGTATACCAAGACTATCACAGGTATACCAAGAGTATCCCAGGTATACCAAGAGTATCCCAGGTATACCAAGAGTATCACAGGTATACCAAGCGTATCACAGGTAATTTTATATTCTGAATGATCAGTACTATTCATTCCATCTGAATTTATTTTAAAACGGGAGGAAACTTGCAATGACCATAGACTGAAGGAGGAAACCAACTTGTGTTGAAGGAATAAGGGGAGACAATCCAATCTTGTTTCAGGATTGGCTGGAAACAATTCAAGCTTACATATGACTAACAATGGTCTGTATAATAGGATCAAAATGGGACAAAAACAACAAAAGATTACCATAAATCTGCAGACAAAAAAGGACTGTCAATAGCGATAAAACTAAAATGTATCCAAGATTTAATTTGAAAATCAGATAAATTCTGAGGAAAACCGATTCATGCAAAGGAAAGGGATAAATGAATATGGATAAACTTACCTTCTTCTTAGTCTGTAAGTATGGCACAGGGTCAGTGAGTTCAGGGTATAATGTCATAGAACAGATGTTATTGAGATAAGGGTAATTTACTCTAGTACAAAGGGGGTGAATTCAGGGTAATTCACTCTAGTACAAAGGGGGTGAATTCAGGGTAATTCACTCTAGTACAAAGGGGGTGAATTCAGGGTAATTCACTCTAGTACAAAGGGGGTGAATTCAGGGTAATTCACTCTAGTACAAAAGGGGTGAATTCAGGGTAATTCACTCTAGTACAAAGGGGGTGAATTCAGGGTAATTTGCTTCAGCATATGGTCCAATGAGTTCAAAGTGATTCATGACAGTTTATGAGTTCAGCATATTTTATCATGGCAGGGAGGTGGTATGTTTGGGGTAATCCAGAACTGCAAAGTACTGAGCGAGTCAATGGCAATTTATGACAGTAACAGGTTCAGTGAGTTCAGGGTGCTTCAGGGCCATATATAGGGTTCAGTGAGTTATGGGTGATTCAGGACCATATATAGGGTTCAGTGAGTTCAGGGTGCTTCAGGGCCATATATAGGGTTCAGTGAGTTATGGGTGATTCAAGGCCATATATATGGTTCAGTGAGTTCAGGGTGCTTCAGGATCATATATAGGGTTCAGTGAGTTATGGGTGATTCAGGGCCATATATAGGGTTCAGTGAGTTATGGGTGATTCAGGACCATATATAGGGTTCAGTGAGTTCAGGGTGCTTCAGGGCCATATATAGGGTTCAGTGAGTTCAGGGTGCTTCAGGGCCATATATAGGGTTCAGTGAGTTCAGGATGCTTCAGGACCATATATAGGGTTCAGTGAGTTATGGGTGCTTCAGGGCCATATATATGGTTCAGTGAGTTATGGGTGCTTCAGGGCCATATATATGGTTCAGTGAGTTCAGGGTGCTTCAGGGCCATATATAGGGTTCAGTGAGTTCAGGGTGCTTCAGGATCATAAAGAGTTCAGTGAGTTTAGTTTAGTTCAGGACAATTCATTACAATACAGAGGTCAGTGAGTTCAGGGCCATTCAGTACAATACAGAGGTCAGTGAGTTCAGGGCCATTCAGTACAATACAGAGGTCAGGCAGTCCAGGATCATTCACTTTATGATACAGAGTTGGTGAGTTGTGGGTAATTTAGTTCAGCACATAAGGGTCAATAAGTTCAGGGTGAATCAGTACAATACAGAGGTCAGGGGGTCCAGTCATTCACTATATAGTACAGAGTTTGTGAGTTGTGGGTAATTCAGTAAAGTATAAGGGTCATTCTGTGAGTTAAGAGTGATTCAATACAACACAAGGATTTGTGAGTTTTGGTTAAATTAGTACAGCACAAGTGTAATAAATTCATAGTAGTTTTACTTCAGTACAAGGGTCAAGAATTATAGAGCCATGTGCAGGTGTTTGATTTAATCTTTCTTGTTCCATTTGTACACAATGGTACAATGCAGTAGTGAACAGGCATCAAGCACACATATCTAGCATTCCAATGTTTAATTCAGATTACCAGTTTCAGTCTTTCCTGCTTGTCCTGTTGATAATGAATTATGCCAAAGATCTGTATTGCTATACAACATAACTTCCACCTACTGACCTTGACATTGGCCAGTTACAAAATAGGATGGAACTGTTTAAATCACTGAGTTTTTTTGTTGGGGATGGGGATATTGGGGTGTAAGTGGGGAAGAGTTCCTCTAAGAATCTTCTATTTTCCCTACATTATAATCTTCTATTTTCCCTACATTATAATCTTCTATTTTCCCTACATTATAATCTTCTATTTTTCCTACATTAAAATCTTCTATTTTCCCTACATTATAATCTTCTATTTTTCCTACATTAAAATCTTCTATTTTCCCTACATTATAATCTTCTATTTTCCCTACATTATAATCTTCTATTTTCCCTACATTATAATCTTCTATTTTCCCTACATTATAATCTTCTATTTTCCCTACATTAAAATCTTCTATTTTCCCTACATTATAATCTTCTATTTTCCCTACATTATAATCTTCTATTTTTGCTACATTATAATCTTCTATTTTCCCTACATTATAATCTTCTATTTTTGCTACATTATAATCTTCTATTTTCCCTACATTATAATCTTCTATTTTTGCTACATTATAATCTATTTTCCCTACATTATAATCTTCTATTTTTGCCATTATAATCTACATTATAATCTTCTATTTTTCCTACATTAAAATCTTCTATTTTCCCTACATTATAATCTTCTATTTTCCCTACATTATAATCTTCTATTTTTGCTACATTATAATCTTCTATTTTCCCTACATTATAATCTTCTATTTTTGCTACATTATAATCTTCTATTTTCCCTACATTATTCTTCTATTTTTGCTACATTATAATCTTCTATTTTCCCTACATTATAATCTTCTATTTTTGCTACATTATAATCTTCTATTTTCCCTACATTATAATCTTCTATTTTTGCTACATTATAATCTTCTATTTTCCCTACATTATAATCTTCTATTTTTGCTACATTATAATCTTCTATTTTCCCTACATTATAATCTTCTATTTTTGCTACATTATAATCTTCTATTTTTGCTACATTATAATCTTCTATTTTTGCCATTATACATTATAATCTTCTATTTTTGCTACATTATAATCTTCTATTTTTGCTACATTATAATCTTCTATTTTTGCTACATTTTCCCCCTACATTATAATCTTCTATTTTTGCTACATTATAATCTTCTATTTTCCCTACATTATAATCTTCTATTTTTGCTACATTATTCTTCTATTTTTGCTACATTATAATCTTCTATTTTTGCTACATTATAATCTTCTATTTTCCCTACATTATAATCTTCTATTTTTGCTACATTATAATCTTCTATTTTTGCTACATTATAATCTTCTATTTTTGCTACATTATAATCTTCTATTTTCCCTACATTATAATCTTCTATTTTTGCTACATTATAATCTTCTATTTTCCCTACATTATAATCTTCTATTTTCCCTACATTATAATCTTCTATTTTTGCTACATTATAATCTTCTATTTTCCCTACATTATAATCTTCTATTTTTGCTACATTATAATCTTCTATTTTTGCTACATTATAATCTTCTATTTTTGCTACATTATAATCTTCTATTTTTGCTACATTATAATCTTCTATTTTCCCTACATTATAATCTTCTATTTTTGCTACATTATAATCTTCTATTTTTGCTACATTATAATCTTCTATTTTTGCTACATTATAATCTTCTATTTTCCCTACATTATAATCTTCTATTTTTGCTACATTATAATCTTCTATTTTTGCTACATTATAATCTTCTATTTTTGCTACATTATCCTTCTATTTTCCCTACATTATAATCTTCTATTTTTGCTACATTATAATCTTCTATTTTTGCTACATTATAATCTTCTATTTTTGCTACATTATAATCTTCTATTTTTGCTACATTATAATCTTCTATTTTCCCTACATTATAATCTTCTATTTTTGCTACATTATAATCTTCTATTTTTGCTACATTATAATCTTCTATTTTCCCTACATTATAATCTTCTATTTTTGCTACATTATAATCTTCTATTTTTGCTACATTATAATCTTCTATTTTTGCTACATTATAATCTTCTATTTTCCCTACATTATAATCTTCTATTTTTGCTACATTATAATCTTCTATTTTTGCTACATTATAATCTTCTATTTTCCCTACATTATAATCTTCTATTTTTGCTACATTATAATCTTCTATTTTTGCTACATTATAATCTTCTATTTTCCCTACATTATAATCTTCTATTTTCCCTACATTAAAATCTTCTATTTTCCCTACATTAAAATCTTCTATTTTCCCTACATTATAATCTTCTATGTTCCCTACATTATAATCTTCTATTTTCCCTACATTATAATCTTCTATTTTTGCTACATTATAATCTTCTATTTTTGCTACATTATAATCTTCTATTTTCCCTACATTATAATCTTCTATTTTCCCTACATTAAAATCTTCTATTTTCCCTACATTATAATCTTCTATTTTCCCTACATTATAATCTTCTATTTTCCCTACATTATAATCTTCTATTTTCCCTACATTATAATCTTCTATTTTCCCTACATTATAATCTTCTATTTTCCCTACATAAAAATCTTCCTTGTTCCTTAATTAAGTCTCCATTTCCAGCACTGTTGAAAGATGTAACAATTAATATAAACATGTTTTTTTACCACAAAGTTTAAAAGCAAGAACATCTAGAAGGAGAATAGTAATAACTACACCATTGATTATACTTTCTGTTGCAGCAATATGTTACCTTTTCTTTCTGTTTCTTTGGATCTTCGACCAAACGTCGTGTACGTATCCATCGCCGACGACGACAGAGGTGGTATCGCTTCTCAACTGGACCATAACCTGCCATCGTAGCCTCTACGCAGTACTCCCAGCCTGGTGGATGGAAAAACTTGATCATAGTCACAAACTTTAACAAGAAAATCTTAGTTCTAAAAAGAACCCTTATACAACTACATGTAGGTAACATCATTACAGACATTCTTAATCAGTAAAGGTCAAGGTAACCAGAGACATTTTCAACAAAGATACAGATCACTAACAACTAAATAATTCTCTAGTCAACCATGGTCAAGGTCGCTAGCACATACCATCCTCATCAACAGCTCGACTAAGGTCAATTTCCCATTCATCTTCCCACACCCAGCCTGGAGGGAGGTGTGTCTCTCCTCGAGACAGACACTTGTCACCTTTCTGGAACAAAAGATAGGTAACAAGTAGACATTAAATTCTAGGATAATTCCAATCATACGTATCTGTATTTCACAGGTCTATAGAATTATTCAACATGTACATAAACAATGGAAAATATACAACAAACAAATAACACTTTTCTTTGTATATGATGTGGCTGATTTTCACTTTGTTTTACTCTGTTGCCTACTGGAACCTTATCTGAAAACTGATTTGTTTTCCTGTTTAATCAAAAGAAAATGAAAACTGACCACATCTGCCCAAGGAGTAGTGGCCTCGCCCCAGCTTCCTCCAGGCATACGAGAATGACACTCGTACACGTCCTCCATGTATACTTTGTGTCCTGCATCCTTATCAAACAGCATGCTAAAAATAGAGGGGATAAAAATTGACACATTTACCAATTCACATGTAAGAATCCTATTATTTTGCAGAAGTTAAGAAATGTATTCTTTTCTAACAGATTCAATGTAAAAAAGTCCAAACGGACTAAACTAAAATCTTCAATATCACCACCAAGCTTGTGTCTCCAACTTAATTAACTCAGTTAACAGAGAGGACTACAACAGTTGAGAGACTACCATAGCTAGATATAAAGAAATAGCCCAGACTGCCATATAGTTTTTTTATTAAAATCAAATATTTGGTCAGAGTTCTGGTTTCTAAAAAAGTCTTAAAAACTAAAAATATGAGCAAATAAAAGGACAGACTCGCATAATATTCACCATCTGGCACTCTGATATGATTACTATACAAATATACAATGCAGTTTCATTAGAGATCCTAATGATTTTGTTTTATATATTTATTTGCTGAAGCGAAGTTTCTTTGTTGAAAATAGAAAAAAAAAGTAAATTTCTGTTTTTCAGAACAATTTACTAGACATGCTCCTGATTAGTTTTACATTAATAGCAAATTGACAATTAAACGTCAACACATCTGGTACATGTATGATGACATCACCACCTGACATTTAACTCTTAATTAGAAAATAAGATTAAAAAAAATATACAAAAAGAAAATCTGAAAAAGGATGACTAGAATGAGAACTGGAGTACCACAACAACAACAGTATTAAAAATTGCTAATGAAATTATAATCATTGTTTAAATAAAAAAAAATTATATATTTAATGAAAACTGTGTTTATTACATCTTCTGTTATCATGCTTGACTTAAAGAAATGAACAGACATCAAATTACCTTTGACACAAGGTAAAAATTCTTGATAAATACTAAAAATGATAAAAATATGAAACATAGAACAAAAGCTTGAGACTGACCGCTTAAGAAGAAAGATAAAAGGTAAACAGAGACAATGATAGAAAATACGAGTATTAAGAAAAGAGTGGTTAGTGATATGTTGTACCTGATACTTTTCCATGCAGAAGTGAAATAAATGAAGAGTTTTAACAATGATGATCAGGATCAATGACAGAGCAGCTGATTTCTACTACTGAAACAAAATTCTGTAGCTCTGTATGATATAATTCCAATTAAGTGAACTCAAATGATGTTTTTCTGAATCTTTTTTATATAACCACAATAATGGAATCAAAACTGTGGCTCTGAAATATCCCTATTACACTATTTGAGTGAACTAAATTAATATTGCTATAGATGTTTTCTTTATAACTCTACTAAGGTAAACAGAGATTCTGTAGATATTTTCTGTTTCACTTTATTTGGATGCACATTTCTCTTCATGCAAAAAAAACAGTGAAATGCCAGACAAACAACATGGTTTCTAGATAAAACCACAGAAAGAATGATATGGCATATTAGTACATTGCAATACATATCCTGTCATTGCCATATGTTGTTTTAGTAGAATATATCTTGTCACCATCAGCACTACTTGGATGAACTGATATGCTGATATATGATGTAATTTTTACAATGTGACAGCCCTATAACAAGACATGTGACCTGCTTCCTCAGAGATTTTGTATGACAGCCCTATTACACAATAAATGGCCTGTTCGTCAGAGATTTTGTACCTGTGACAGCCCTATAACAAGACATGTGACCTGCTTCCTCAGAGATTTTGTACCTGTGACAGCCCTATAACACAAAATATGGCCTGCTTCGTCAGAGATTTTGTACCTGTGACAGCCCTATAACAAGACATGTGACCTGCTTCCTCAGAGATTTTGTATGACAGCCCTATTACACAATAAATGGCCTGTTCGTCAGAGATTTTGTACCTGTGACAGCCCTATAACAAGACATGTGACCTGCTTCCTCAGAGATTTTGTACCTGTGACAGCCCTATAACACAATATATGGCCTGCTTCGTCAGAGATTAGTACCTGTGACAGCCCTATAACAAGACATGTGACCTGCTTCCTCAGAGATTTTGTACCTGTGACAGCCCTATAACACAATATATGGCCTGCTTCATCAGAGATTTTGTACCTGTGACAGCCCTATAACACAATACATGTGACCTGCTTCCTCAGAGATTTTGTATGACAGCCCTATTACACAATAAATGGCCTGTTCGTCAGAGATTTTGTACCTGTGACAGCCCTATAACATGACATGTGACCTGCTTTGTCAGAGATTTTGTACCTGTGACAGCCGTATAACACAATATATGGCCTGCTTCATCAGAGATTTTGTACCTGTGACAGCCCTATAACATGACATGTGACCTGCTTTGTCAGAGATTTTGTACCTGTGACAGCCGTATAACACAATATATGGCCTGCTTCATCAGAGATTAGTACCTGTGACAGCCCTATAACAAGACATGTGACCTGCTTCCTCAGAGATTTTGTACCTGTGACAGCCGTATAACACAATATATGGCCTGCTTCGTCAGAGATTTTGTACCTGTGACAGCCCTATAACATGACATGTGACCTTCTTTGTCAGAGATTTTGTACCTGTGACAGCCGTATAACACAATATATGGCCTGCTTCATCAGAGATTTTGTACCTGTGACAGCCCTATAACACAATATATGGCCTGCTTCATCAGAGATTTTGTACCTGTGACAGCCCTATAACATGACATGTGACCTGCTTCATCAGAGATTAGTACCTGTGACATCCCCAAATCACATGACATGTGACCTACCTGAGTTCAGGACTGATGTACCACTCACTGTCCCACCTCCAGCCAGGCGGAGGTTCAAATTTCTCTTTCTTCAGGGAGACCTAGTGGACGGGTAAGAAATACATTCGTCAAACAACAGAGAAGTGTGACCTTAGTGTTTGTCCACATGAAAGTCAGAAGTCCTTCTAAATCTACCAATACCTTCACTGTTGTAACCAACCCTTTTTCATTAAATGTCTCTTTACCTTCCTTTAAATCTTTAGAGTAAAAAATCACATTTAGTGTTGAAATAATTATCAATCATTTTCAGAAATGTGAGTACAACCTAACAGCCATATTTTTTACACCAAAAACCATCTGCAGAAAAAACATTTCCGAGACAAATATATAAAAAATTTACTGTTGTTTAATGTTTACCGTTACCTCTTGTCTGATGTATCTGACACTTTTATACTGACCTTGCCTTGGCTGTCTGACCATTTGGGGCGCCCCAGTGGTCCTTTGTTGGTCCAGCCCACAATTGGAATACTGATCTCGTTTTCATACTGTAAATATACATCATGAATATGACAAGAAATTCTTTATATCATCATTCCTATCACAACTGAATAAGAACTATTGTACCAACTGAATAAGACATGAATCAGTTTTATTAACTAAGATGTTGGTATAGAAAATTTATTTCTGGTTAACTCGAAAATAATTATAGGAGTCCCAAAATTTACATCCAAAAGTTTGATTTAAGAATTTAAAATCTCAATCTTACACCCAAGTTATTTTCCTTCAAATCTACATCTAAACTAAATCTTTTAGAAAAAAAGTAGACGCTAACACCAATATGAGACACAGACACTAATAGTGGCAGTGACACCAACATCACTGATGTCACTGATGCCAACACATGACACTGACAGCATCATGTGTCACTGATAGCATCACATGTCACCGACACCAACAAATGTCACTGACATCAACATGTGTCACTGACACAACCACATATCATTGATGTGACATTGATGCCAACATGTATCACTAACAACAACACATGACACTGACACCAACATGTGTCACTGACACCAAAACAGGACACTGACACCAACATGTGTCACTGACACTAAAACATGACACTGACACCAACATGTGACACTGACACCAACATGTGTCACTGACACCAAAACATGACACTGACACCAACATGTGTCGCTGACACCAAAACATGACACTGACACCAAAACATGACACTGACACCAACATGTGTCGCTGGCACCAAAACATGACACTGACACCAACATGTGTCACTGACACCAAAACATGACACTGACACCACTGGGTCACTGATGACAACAAAGTTGCACTTCAGTCATGTTTTAACTCTTTACTTAGTTGTGGCATTATATTTGCTCTTCAAATACAGATTAATTTTAACAAATAAGAGATCCAACTTACTGTTTCTGCAAACACAGCCAGTTCACCTTCAGTCTGCATTTTGTGCCATGCCTTCTCCTCGCTCTGGAGACCAAGCCAGATCCTCACTCTTATCAGAGCCGGAACATCAAACTTCTTGTCCTTGATTGCTTTATCTCCTGGCAACTGCAAACAGTAATTTCAATTCATTACATGACCAATGTTGTCACCTGTGACTTCAAAACACCACATGACCAATGTTGTCACCTGTGACTTCAAATCATCACATGACCAATGTTGTCACCTGTGACTTCAAAACATCACATGACCTAGGTCGTCACCTTCAAAACATCACATGATTTATGTCGTCACCTGTGACGTCAAAACATCACATGACCAATGTCCTCACCTGTGACTTCAAAACATCACATGACCATTGTCGTCACCTGTGACTTCAAAACATCACATGACAATTGTCGTCACTTGTGACTTCAAATCATCACAGGACATATGACTACATTCGTAGAAACATATCTACTACTACAAATCTCCTTATTCTTATATATTATGTTTTTTCTCTACTGAGGTTAAAATTTCCTTAAAGAGGGTGCAGAATATATTATGAACTTAAATAAAATATTTCTGAATGACCAATCACTTCATAATTTATCTAGACAATTAACAAGTAAATTTACAACATAATGACTTTTTAGGAACCTTAAAATTTCACCACAGTAAATATGTGACCAGTGTTACTCTGATCTCATCTAGAGGATATTTTGAACACTGAAAGTAATTGAAAGTCAGAAGTCACCAGTTTGATCTCTAGCAGACTTATTGATATAAATAATGACCACTGTTACACAATGGAAGTAAAAATTTTACAGGCAGATTAGTTACCTGAAGACAAATGGACTGAAGCTTGCCACAGTTACGACCCACATAGTTGGGGTCGGTAGAGTACAGGATCTCATTAGCTGGGATTCGATGATAGGCTATCCTCTTTTCTCCACTAATCATCCACAGTATCACGTCTGGCATGCTGTTCTGAGGCTGTTAACATTATGAATATTTATACAAACTACAACGTTTCCAAGAATTCTAATTCATCCATGACGCAACAAAGCATTTCATTAGTCAAAAATTTACAATATAGATATGATATATTGTGTAAACACAGGAAACATCAACACTTAAACTGTTACAAGATTCATGTAAAATTAAGGTAGAACTAACCTCCTGTGCTAGGTTTTTGATCATTTGTAGGAAGTTCTCGGCTTCGTTCAGTGCCTCAGCGACATCTGTGGCATGCTCTCTCAGCTGTCCTGCCATTTCCCCGATGTTTGCCAGTTCTGCTGCACGGTACTGTGCAGTCAACTGGTCCAGTTTGTTGGGTGTATGACGAGCTGGCTTAGGTTGTGGTAATGGTTTCCTATCAAATAAAGGAACAGCTTCTAAATGACAGCTACAAGAGTAGGCATGGTGATAGCTGGGTAGAGATGGTCATTGAACAGTAAGGACAGTGTTAGCTGGGTAGGGATGATTACTGATTAGTAGGCATGGTGATAGTTGGGTAAGGATGGTTACTGATTAGTAGGCATGGTGATAGCTGGGTAGGGATGGTTACTGATTAGTAGGCATGGTGATAGCTGGGCAGGGATGGTTACTGATTAGTAGGCATGGTGATAGCTGAGAAGGGATGGTTACTGATCAGAAGGGATGGGGATAGTTGGGTAGGGATGGTTACTGATTAGTAGGCATGGTGATAGCTGGGTAAGGATGGTTACTGATCAGAAGGGATGGTGATAGCTGGGTAGGGATGGTTACTGATTAGCAGGCATGGTGATAGCTGGGTAGGGATGGTTACTGATCAGAAGGGATGGTGATAGCTGGGTAGGAATGGTTACTGATTAGCAGGCATGGCGATAGCTGGGTAAGGATGGTTACTGATCAGAAGGGATGGGGATAGTTGGGTAGGGATGGTTACTGATTAGTAGGCATGGTGATAGCTGAGAAGGGATGGTTACTGATTAGTAGGCATGGTGATAGCTGAGAAGGGATGGTTACTGATCAGAAGGGATGGTGATAGCTGGGTAGGAATGGTTACTGATTAGTAAACATGGTGATAGCTGAGAAGGGATGGTTACTGATCAGAAGGGATGGTGATAGCTGGGTAGGGATGGTTACTGATTAGTAGGCATGGTGATAGCTGAGAAGGGATGGTTACTGATCAGAAGGGATGGTGATAGCTGGGTAGGAATGGTTACTGATTAGTAAACATGGTGATAGCTGAGAAGGGATGGTTACTGATCAGAAGGGATGGTGATAGCTGGGTAGGGATGGTTACTGATTAGTAGGCATGGTGATAGCTGGGTAGGGATGGTTACTGATTAGTAGGCATGGTGATAGCTGGGTAAGGATGGTTACTGATTAGTAGGCATGGTGATAGCTAGGTAGGAATGGTCACAGATCAGAAAGGATGGTGATAGCTGTGTAGGAAGGGTCACAGAGCAGAAGGAATGGTGAAAATCCAGGTAGAGATGGATAGCTACATACCGGCAGTCCTGAACTAGCTGTTCTAGAAGTGATATCAGCAGCTGGGCAAGTTCTGGGGTTGGCAGTTTTGCCTTCATTCCGATCTTAACTTGCTCAATGTTAGCTTCCTGCAAATTAACAAATGACTGTAACAGTAAATTTCTTTTTCCTTTTTCTTAAACTTGTGTTCATACATCATTGTTATTTAGACACCAACTAACTTCAGATGCAATAGAATGGTATCAAATGGAAAGGAATAAAACACAAGGATTTCACAGCATATTATGTACAGTAAAACTGATTTATCTACAACGTAATGATCCACAGAGTACTGAATAACTTACAAGCTTATCGACGATGCCTTGAAGGAGGTTGAGGGCCTCCAGTCTGAAGGAGATATCCTCCCAGTGAGAATCGACCACTACACATGGCTTGGTGGCACCCCACGGCAGGAAGGAATAGTGACAGCCATCAAACACAGCATTGGTGGGCTGGGTTGTCGAGGAACAAGGCAGCACATTGTCATCCAACTTGTTACCATAGTTACCTGTTCAAAAATGAGCACAAAAATTGATTAAAAATTCATAGGGTAAATGCCTATAAGAAATATTTCTCGTTCCGAAAAAAATAACAAAAGTTTAAACACAAGTATAAATGAAATTACTTAAAATCTTTCTAAGATAATTTGGAAACAAAATCTAGGTTGCACTTCAAATTTGGCTACAACTGTCCATGTAATCTGATTGTACTATAAATTACACAATGTGAAACATTGTACAGGACATAATCAGGAAGATATCTGATAAAGTACAGGCAGATACTCAAAGTAAATACTATGTGATCTTCATCTGTCAAGGAGAAATAACACTGAATAGATGAATATCATTTAAGTTAATATTTTACTTAACAAAATAATTTTCCTGTTTATTACTGTCATCAGTCACAACTTACCTCTACCGTTGTCAGTCACAACTTACCTCAACCGTTGTCAGTCACAACTTACCTCTACCGTTGTCAGTCACAACTGATCAATGCTGTCATCAGTCACAACTTACCTCTACCGTTGTCAGTCACAACTGATTGATGCTGTCATCAGTCACAACTTACCTCTACAGTTGTCAGTCACAACTGATCGATGCTGTCATCAGTCACAACTTACCTCTACCGTTGTCAGTCACAACTTACCTCTACAGTTGTCAGTCACAACTTACCTCAACCGTTGTCAGTCACAACTTACCTCTACCGTTGTCAGTCACAACTTACCTCTACAGTTGTCAGTCACAACTTACCTCAACCGTTGTCAGTCACAACTTACCTCTACAGTTGTCAGTCACAACTGATCGATGCTGTCATCAGTCACAACTTACCTCTACCGTTGTCAGTCACAACTTACCTCCACAGTTGTCAGTCACAACTGATTGATACTGTCATCAGTCACAACTTACCTCTACAGTTGTCAGTCACAACTTACCTCTACAGTTGTCAGTCACAACTTACCTCTACCGTTGTCAGTCACAACTTACCTCTACAGTTGTCAGTCACAACTTACCTCTACAGTTGTCAGTCACAACTGATCGATGCTGTCATCAGTCACAACTTACCTCTACCGTTGTCAGTCACAACTTACCTCCACAGTTGTCAGTCACAACTGATCGATACTGTCATCAGTCACAACTTACCTCTACAGTTGTCAGTCACAACTTACCTCTACCGTTGTCAGTCACAACTGACCTCTACCGTTGTCAGTCACAACTGATCGATGCTGTCATCAGTCACAACTTACCTCTACCGTTGTCAGTCACAACTTACCTCTACCGTTGTCAGTCACAACTTACCTATACTGATTTCAAACTCTACTGGTGCATCAATTGCACTGACCATCGTTGCATTGAGGAACGTTGCATGAAGCTTGTATTTCCTCCTCCTCATGAATTTCTGCCAATAAACATATTGCATCAGTAATATTAATCAGTATATGATATATAAATTTGATATTCACTTGAATTTCAAAATTTTAAATGGCAAGAAACATCAAGTGTCACAGTGAACATAGCCATGAACATTTCCATAGCTTACCAGTAGCAGTTAACATTTCCATAGCTTACCAGTAGCAGTTAACATTTCCATAGCTTACCAGTAGCAGTTAACATTTCCATAGCTTACCAGTAGCAGTTAATCAGTAAAATCTTCAATTTTCCAGCTGAACTTATATCAACTTTTTGAAAATATGTCACATACATGATTCGTTAAATTTTTGTCATATCACTCTTATGTGTTAAGGCAAAAAGGAACAATGTGAGATGTGTACTTATGGAGTTGTAAGCATTTTAAGAACTTGCTCCACAAACTTTAAAGTGAGTTTTCACCTGTACATGGAGAACATCACTTTCTTCCCAACATTGCTCTCACCTGTGTACAGAGGACATCACTTTCTTCCATACTTCATTATCACCTGTCCACAGAGAACAACACTTTCTTCCATGATTCATTCTCACATGTCCACAGAGAACATCACTTTCTTCCACGATTCATTCTCACCTGTCCACAGAGAACATCATCACTTTCTTCCATACTTCATTCTCACCTGTCCACAGAGAACATCACTTTCTTCCATACTTCATTCTCACCTGTCCACAGAGAACAACACTTTCTTACATACTTCATTCTCACCTGTCCACAGAGAACATCACTTTCTTCCATGATTCATTCTCACCTGAACACAGAGAACATCATCACTTTTTTCCATGATTCATTCTCACCTGTCCACAGAGAACATCATCACTTTCTTCCATGATTCATTCTCACCTGTCCACAGAGAACATCACTTTCTTCCCAACATTACTCTCACCTGTATACAGAGGACATCACTTTCTTCCATACTTCATTCTCACCTGTCCAGAGGACAACACTCTCTTCCATGATTCATTCTCACCTGTCCACAGAGAACATCATCACTTTCTTCCACGATTCATTCTCACCTGTCCACAGAGAACATCACTTTCTTCCACGATTCATTCTCACCTGTCCACAGAGAACATCATCACTTTCTTCCACACTTCATTCTCACCTGTCCACAGAGAACATCACTTTCTTCCATACTTCATTCTCACCTGAACACAGAGGACATCACTTTCTTCCATACTTTATTCTCACCTGTCCTCAGAGAACAACACTTTCTTCCATACTTCATTCTCACCTGTCCACAGAGAACATCACTTTCTTCCATGATTCCTTCTCACCTGTATACAGAGAACATCACTTTTTTCCATGATTCATTTTCACCTGTCCACAGAGAACATCATCACTTTCTTCCATGATTCATTCTCACCTGTACACGGAGAACATCATCACTTTCTATGTCCTGTACATTAACCTCTGGTAAAGCACCCAACTCGGTAGTCAACTCCACTAAAGCACGTCCCCTGTAGGCTACACCTGTGCCCTGTAATAAACAGTCATTTGTCAGTTTAATACAGAATGGGATTAAACAATGTGATCCATAAGTTGATTGGTCAGTCTATCAAAAAGTATTGACTGGTCAGTGAACTACATAGAGTGATGATTTGACATTTGCATAAGTGAGCTATCTTTATCTCTTGGGAAAGACAAATTTACATTTTTAAGTAAACATGGACATGTACCTGTGGGAGAAACAACATACATGTAGCTACATACCTTTCCTTCATTTAGGTCCTCATACTCATTTGGCAGATCTGAATATTCTCTGGTTGACCCATAGAAATTAATAAAGCAGGGGCCAAACGTTGGTAGGAAACCTAGAAAAAAAATTGTTCAATGGTCAATTTAGGTAATATTGAGATTGTTTATATATTTTCTACAATAATAAAAAAGGGATTATTATTTCAATAAACATTTTATAAAATTATCGATATGTTTGTAACAGCAAATATTTCTCACAAAAAGTAATTTAAACTTTAAAATGAAACAAGAATGATTACAACCTACAAACATCTGTCGGATACATGATCTAACACTGTACACATGTCATGTTATGAAAAGTTTCCATGATACAAAATAATAGATAAAAAAGTAATTAATTATTACCAACAATTTTGTACAAATTTTTTCTCTGAAATTTGAATAAAATGAAATCAATAGAAATTCAAACAAAACAATAGTTTAGAAAATATTTCTTGAATAATAATGTTCAAACTTTTTATCTAAAATTCAAATTAAATGAAAGTTGTATATACCAGGGATTTCTTGACAGCTGAATCCTATAAATCATAATCACAGAAAAGGAAGATGTTTACTGATAAAACGAATCCCAAGGAAGTGAAAAGTCAAAACATTCATGACAAAGTAAAAATAATATGGTTATCGTTCATCTTCTTTGTGGTGTGCTGAAGTAATGTTGATGCAACCATGAGGAAATCTCATGCCACAAACTCAGAAATCACATATCACCCAAAGAATCATAGAGACAGAAAATTACTGATATATCACGATGCTTAAACTTGATAGTCATTCACAGTATAATTCAAATAAGTGCTTATTTCCTCTGAATCAGAAAGTAAATCTTTATCCTCCAAATTAACTTATATATAAATGTTCTAAATCAATATACACAATATAAATGACTTCTGTTTTCATTAATACGATGTATATATCATTACTGTGACAACTTATCTGGAAAGGTTAACATGATTCAGTATTGCCAAACAACTACACAGCAAGTATTTTTGTGATACCTATACATCAACTAGGATCCAAAGTTAACAGTATGCTACAGGTGCCTAAAGGATATTTCTTCTGAAAAGATATCCACGACCTATACTTTACAATCACATCTAACAAGACAATTCTATTTAACCTTATTATAAAAGTGTATTTTACCCACAGGTAAGTCAGGTCTAAATGGTGATGATAATTTGATATCAGTACATAAAATTGATCTATAAATCAGTTTAAAACAGACTAATCCATAAACAAGGCTGAAGATAAAATCAGGGATGTCCCTGTTTTATGTTTAGTACTCTACTGTAAACAGGTGGATAACAAAAGCATAGTTTTACTAAAATAAAAAAAACAAAAGTATTGTTATGTTACTTGAGACAACAACCCAGACACCGTAAATTGAAAAACAGACTCAAAATTAAATGCAAAATAATTTACCATCCTCCATACTCTCTTTGTAAACGATTGTAAATGAAAAATTAGATTTGTTAAAAACAATGTCTGTTAAAGAAGAAAATGTAAATGATGCATATGAAAATGAGAAATTATTTAAAACAGATACAATTTTTCATACATTTGAAATACCAAAATAGTATTTGTTACAAATTAAATGATAGAAAACCCGACCAAAGAAAGACAACTCTGTTGTTACATATATTGACACTAGATTATCCAGACCTTGAGCTAATAACATAGCTGCTACAGGCTCAATCATGTTAAAACACATAACAGTTCAGTGTATCCATTTTTTACAAGCGTAATATATGTTTCTACATTAACTATAAACCATCAAGTAATAATTAGGTCACTGACTATCTCACTAATCTATGAATTCTTATGAGATATAAATATCTAATTATTCTAAAAAAATCAATAAACAAAACTTTTGCAGCTATCTTGATGAAACCTTTTTTTCTTTGTACATAGATTTCCCTTACTGTAACATTCACATACTGTAGGCTATTTAATGATCACTTATTGGTGTAAGTCACATGGGAATCACAAGGGAAAGTATTAAATCTCTTTGAAATTCTTTAGAAGTATTGTGTGATGTAAGGAAAAGACAGTGAGGTGGGGAAAAAATGAAAGTCAGATACGCTGAATTAACGAATGAGTACAGTCAACAAATTCATCAGTGGCTAGATATGACAAAAGTATGTAATGATTAAATTAGTAACATAATATATTATACAGCACTATAAATAGGTATAGAGATATAGAAGTCAAGCACACAACGAAAAAAAAAAGAATTCTACAAAGGGACATAAATACCCTCTTCTCCTGCACTCGATATGAGAGATATTGGAAGAAACGACGTTCCAACCGGGTCATCATTACCTATGCGATCCCTGGAGGTCAGAAGGCAGGACAGAAAGTAGGAATACATTAATATATTGTAATGAAACTGAAATATTAATGCATATTATAACATGGTCTGGCCACTAGATATACTGATTAAACATGAGTATATATTAAGTTTATTAGTCATTTGTTAGTTTTTAACAGGATTGATTAAAACATCTGATTTTAGACACATACATCGGACTCCCCTCTGAACAACAGTGCTACAACCATGCTACCATTGTACAAAAGACCATCGCAGTACTAATCTTCAAGTGCTATTAGTACACACTTCTACATAACTAAATGTTCTGATCTGAAACAGCTTTGTTAGAGTGGCATCATCAGAGCAGTGATCTGATTCATCTCTGCTCTTTAGTTAGAGTGATTCTGAATTATTTAGCGCTGTTCAGTGAAGTGTTAAAAAGCCAATAGCTTGCCGAGAAAGCATAAAATAAATCTCACCTATTGTTGGTACAATAACCATTGAAAAATAAATCATCTTTCATATGTCACAGTACGAGCAACTTTAGTGTTCATGTCACTGACACAGATATACAGAAACATGGCTGTTCTGACAATCCATTACATTGCTGGTAAACCATAAACACAAAACTTCTGTTTTTGTATCACAATATTTTTTTTGATTGTTGATTTAGACAAAATGTCTGATTTCTATATGCTGAACAGAGCTGAACCTAGAGACTGTAAGAAACCACTATGTCTTGATAAGTAATGACCTATGTATATAATGAGCGCATTCTCAAAAAAATTGCTATCACACTGGCTTGTTAATTGAGAATGGATATACATGTAGTAAGCAGGATTGCATTGAAAGAAAGCTGAATGGTGTTGCGACTGAGGTGGTACAAAATAAATCTAAATGTATAGAGAATGAATGATAAAGGAAGGTGTTACACAGTAGTGGAATATGGAAGGATTTATGAAAGGAGTGATTTGTTCCAAGTCTGAAGACCGCCACCAAGGTAACATTCGTTACAAGACAAGAACGAGGAATGGCAATGGTTACCATGGAAACCAGCATGCTATATTGGTCAAACAGAAATCTCACATTTCCATTATTGTCTTTTGAAATCAGAAATCAACAACAAAGAGCAACATATTTTCCTCAAATGATCCTTTTTATTTACAATTAAATGTCATTTCATTAGATTTCTACTTTAGAGTAGTGCTGGTGTTTGGGTCATAGAAATATCGCAATGAAAAATAAAACTCACAGTTAAAGTCAAGAGTTTCTGAACAAAGTGCAATAAAGGAAACTTCTGTGTACGATATCTGTTTGACCAGTTCTTGCCTTTAAAGATAATGGTGAAAACCAACCCTGTTCCCCTGCTGCGTTCTGTGAGATGAGAGGAACTCTGAGTGTGCTTGAACAGATTGTATCGTCTTCACTGATCCGGTCCCTACGGTAACGTAACCGTCAAATACACAGTAATATGTGCTAAACATGCCAACAACAACTAAAAATAGGACTCACAATGACCTTGAATGAACATTTTGGGTTGAAACATTCTTTGGAAACTATATTTAGTTCTACTCATTACTTTAATATTGCCCCCTACCATCTGATAATGAATCTGAAATACATGTTGTTAACCCAGAATTATGAAGAATCGATAACGGTATCAATATGACCTTGACTTTTGGACATTGTAATAAAATTACATGTAAGATTTAGATATTCATTTATCATAAAAACATAATTAAAGCAATTAATACAGATTAACTCATGATCAAAACTGAATATTTATCCTGAAATTGTAAGTTAAACCAAATTGCCACCAGACCATGAACTCTGATCTGAACCAAATGTTTTGACCTTGGCTTATAATCAAATCTTAATGTCAGACCTTGACCTATTATCATATCCTAATTTTTGACCTTGAACTATGATTCAATGCCAATTTTTGACATGTACTTCAGTTTAGAACCCAACATCTGACCTTGACCTATGATAGGAACCCAATATTTGGCCTTGACCTATGATCAGGTCCTATGTTTGACGTATAATCAGAATCCAACCTATCTGACCTTGACTTATAATCAGATCAAAATGTTTTTACCCTGACTCTAACCTCCTGTATACTATAAAAGCACTAACACTTGACATATGATATATACATTGTGAGTCCTACTGTGAATCTGCAATGAAATGTGACTTAACAAACAAGCAAAGATATAGTTGCAATCAGAAAATCAAAAGTATTTTTTTCTGAAGCCACACAATGCATTAGTGAAGAAATTCTATAGTAAAAGAGAACAGTGAAACAAAGTTTTAAGATTTTTTATAACAAATCAATAAAATATGCTATTGAGAGCTTTGTGGCTGTAGATAAACTATCTACTTAGCAGCAAATAACACATCTATATTGCATACAAAATCCTACTTTATCCTTTAGTATTCATTTCCTACAAGTTTTAAGTAATTGAAGTACATCTGTGTTATAATCTTGTTTCTCAGTATATCGCATGAAAGCTGATATGTTAAAGAAGAGACTGTAAGGTTTTCTGCTTTCTGTGACCTATAAACAGGCACTTTAACATCATCACTCGGGATAAAGCTTGTGTTAATCTGGTCATTGGTCTGAATACTGGGTAGATTTAGTTTGACAATCATCACTGTGATAAACAAGTATTACATTTAATTTGTCACGAGGGAAAAAGTGCATGTGTCAACAGTTTTCCTGGTCTCTAAGTGAAATGTCAACATGCAGGTATGTTAAGTTTATCTCATTTCTAAGAGTGAACTCTTCAGGCAAAACAATTCAAATGATTTCATTTAATCATATTTAACAGAGACAGGAATAAATACAGGTATGTCACATTTACAACATTTATTGTAATAAGTAAAGCTACATTAAGTTTTTCTCATCCCTAGGAATAAATAAAGATATGTTCAGTTTATCTTAACCCTTGGAATAAATAGATATGTAATGTTTATCTTGTCCTTTGGAATAAAGTAAGATATGTGAAGATTATCCCTGGACTAAGTATAATTATTACTGCCCTGACTCCATCGTTGAGTTTGCCTGTTAATTACCAATACCGTTAGTAAATCTGGATCACCTTTTTAAAAAGTCAAAGCATGATGCTTAACAAAGTATCTGTGGGGAGGGGGAGGGGGGGGGGTTGGTTCTATAGCATCTCATGCTGATGTGTAGAGGGAGAGCTGCATGCGACCAGCCTACTCACTAGTCGAGCAGTGGCAAGCTAGCATGCCATGTTATAATAACTGATGCTAGGTATTTTTCTGACAGCCAGATTTAGTCACTGTTTTGTTTACCACTGTTAAGACCTGAATTGTCTGTCTGTAAATTGACAGTCAAATCACTGCTCTCACAATTAGTCCAACACTTTGTAAAAAGCCATCAGTAATCAGAGAGATGTGATATATAGATAAAGAATGGCTTAATATTTACATGGTACCGACCTAGATATAGGCCATTACAGATCTAACCAACTGCTAAAGGACCGGTCTTATCAGTGATCAACTACAGTACCTATTTAATGAATATCAATCAACAATGGGAAACAGCAGTCAGTACTTTAGTTTAGGGAGATCACATAAACAGTGGTGGTATGTCAATTTAAACCCAAGGAAAGTGAAACATGATTATAACCAGTACCATGAATATAATCACACTGATAACATAATTATAATCACAAAGGTTTAATGATAATAATTACAAGTAATATTTATAACCACAGGTAATATAATTATAATCATAAAGGTTACATGATTATAATCACAAGTAATATTTATAACCACAGGTAATATAATTATAATCATAAAGGTTAATTGATTATAATCACAAGTAATATTTATAACCACAGGTAACATGATTATAATCACAAAGGTAATATGATTATAATCACAAAGGTAGTATGATTATAATCACAGGTAGTATTTATAACCACAGGTAATACAATTATAATCAGAGTTGATATGATTATAGTCACAGGTAATATTTATAATCACAGGTAATATAATTACTGCAGTATCTATCCTGATATATCAACGATAACTAAAGGATTATAATCCCATTCATAACCATATCACTGTTGTCCTGTATGTGTTATGGAGTAAAACTATGTTAAGGAAGGAAATCTACATCTAACTCCAGATAAGTAATGAGGACATTATACAGATCATACTAAATCCTAGATTCTACAAGGGTAAGAAGTCTACGGACTAATTAATACAACTTATAACACTTAACTAACCCTTCTTTGTTTGTTGAATATTTTCAGTATTTTCCACATTTAGTGAAAAAGTCTTAAAATAATCTAGTAATAAATTCATCTCTACAAATTGTTATCTTCTACATATACACATATGTATGCATTTTTGAAACATTCAATCCTATTTATCAAATCAAATCATCACTGTATAAACAACATATATTGTAATTAAACCTAGACAGAAATAAATCACATCCAACATCAACAACACCAACAGAATGACTTTTATCACACTGGTCTTAAAGCAACATTTGTACAGGTTTACATTTTATGAAATATGGTGTTCCTGGTGTGTTGAGAATGATTTAAATGGTTTCCCAGTATCAAGTCTACAGAAGATATCTATATACAGATGTTTTAAAAAGGAATCATGTTGTATAAAATGTGCTGCGGGCAAAAGAGAGTGTTACATGTAATCCCCCTGTGTTCCAAAGCATCAAATGCTGAAATCTAAAGCGAACCAATGATCATCTAAAGGTGTATTGTGCAATCAAGGTTAAAAAATTGGAATAAAAATTGAGCAAAATTAAATTTCTCCAAAATTTGAAACCAAAAGTAAACAAAGCAAAATAACATTTTATAAAGTGCTGAATATAAGCATAATTTAGGTCAAGACACCTCCTCATCCAAACAGTACATATATATATATAGGAAATATGACAATGGGAAATGGTGGAGCACCTCTCAATAACAAATGGTAACAACGGGCAATAACTCTTATTATAATTGTGTATAAATCTTTACATGCCAGGAGTGAAAACCAAAAGATTAACTGATATAAGCTAAAGAATTTTGATATAAATCTAAACACAGGGATAGAAGAAATCATAACCAGAAGAATATTCTTAAACACATAGAAATGTTGCTTTAAAACAGAAGTATAGACAGTGTAAATAAAACAAATTACTTGTCGCTTAAAATGACACAATATTTAAAAAAATAAATACAACAAATTTAACAAGATATGTAAAAACCAATTATATACATACCAATCTTTAACGCTAAATTTAATGCGCTCACACATTGATGGGAACTACAACAGAGATACAAAAACAAGTAATACGGGGTACTCATGTATAATATACTAAATTAATCAAGATATTAAAGATTTCCTTTCAATTCCAAAGTTTCCCAGTAAATGTAGATTTGAAGAAATCTTTTTCTATCTTAATAAACATGAGATGAATGACAGTGTAAGTATCAAAGATTTAAATAGACTTCACGATAAAATAACCTAAATTATGATAACTTTCTATTTCACTTTCAAAACAGACTTAATATGCTTTAGAATGACCAACTGTGATGTGAAAATTACAACTGTTATGCCTAATGATGCAAGGAAAATGCTTCTATATCCATATCTACATTAGAGCAATGAAGTGATCTGTATCAGATACAGGAAATGCGTATCTCGTTTCTCAGGTATATTCCTATGTCTGGTTGTAATCATGGTAGATTTTGTTTTAATTTGTATGGTAATATCTCTTTAAGTTCTGTAAGAAATTGAATCTCATTCACAATATGTAGTAAAAAGTACCTGAAGTCCAAGACGCAACACCTGGTTCCAGTCGGGATGATCATTGGAGTACATAATTTTTGAATGAACCTGTAGATAATACATACAAAGTCATTCAAATATGTCAGACAATGTCATACAAATAAGTCATACAAGGTCATACAAATATATCATACAAGGTCATACAAATATATCATATAAATATGTCATACAAAGCCATACAAATATGTCATACAAAGTTATACAAATGTCATACAAAGCCATACAAATATGTCATACAAAGTCATACAAATATGTCATACAAAGTCATACAAATATGTCATATAAAGCCATACAAATATGTCATACAAAGTCATACAAATATGTCATACAAAGTCATACAAATATGTCATACAAAGTCATACAATGTCATACAGACATGTTGTTCAACTATTTCTTTTTATAACATCCATTATAACATTGTGCTTATTTTTTCATCTTAATCCTCTAACTTTGTATCTTTAAGACTGACATGATAAAACAAGCACACAGATATTTTCAAACTTTAGCCAAGTATTCTGATATTGAAGTACTGGGGAATCTTATCAAAACAGTAAGAGACTATCAATGTAAGACATAAATATCCACTAATTTTATATACAAATATTTCCAATAATAAGTTAAGTGTAACCAAAAGGTATAAGATATTGTAACTAATCAGTAAATTTCCTATAGTTCCTGATAATTTCTACTCATATTTTCCCAAAAACTTAGTAAAGTGTGACCCAAGTATATCAATTTTTGCTTACCTCCTTTCCAGCAAATGAGAAGACAAAGTAGGGATCAACCAGCTCTTTCTGTTCTTCTCCAATACCAAACACCTTTTTGACTCCCTGGAGGAAGGCTGGGTCCACTGAAGGTCAAACATAGGTCATGCCATTGTTAGGTAGATTGTCATTGTCAATCTAGGAATCTAGGTAAGTATGACGAGTAGCAAGACTGGATTTCTATATTACAGAAAACCATTTATAACCACAGGAAGATGAAAATTGTATAGGGTAAAGATATTACATAAAGTACTCACCGTCTACGTTTTACAAAATTCCAATTAATACAAAAATCTTTTTAGGCTTACAAAGTATTGAATACAAACATTTTACCACATTTCCAAAGCTTTATATCAGAAAAAGGAAAACCATTGAGTGTCAAAATCTAATAACAGGGATGCAAAAACTGTTGATAAGTTCAAATTCTTTACTCAACTTTGAGATTTTTAGCTTTTCAGCATACTCTTGAAGAGTTTTAAACAAACCCTAGCAGAGTTTTCAGCCAACCCTAGCAGAGTTTTCCATATGGTTATACTGTACTCACTCCTAGGAATATCTTCTGCTCCGAACAATTTTAGTGTAAAAGTGGCAGGTCTCAGCTGAACTCCAGAAGGTCGCAGAAGGTTACTATGGAAACCAATATATATCAGTTTAGTTTATATTCCATCACAACAATCTTTGTATAAAGAAATAAAAAGAGGACAGATATCTACTCCATAGTTTTTATGAAACTGAATTCAGACTCAATTTTCTTTAAATTTTTTAATTTCGATAAGAAATCGAAAGATATTTTTATATAGGATCAATGATCAATGTAAAGGCAGTACAAATTTCTGGAGAGTATAAATATCATCCATCCAGATGATTTAACAAAGAAACTCTCTAGAATATTAAGTCTGGATCAATACCTTTCAATATCATCACTTTCATCCTTTCCACTGGCAGCTTTGAAACTCTGAAATCAGAACATGTATGTAATTAAAACCTATGATGAATTAAAAATATGTAGATTTATATTGGGATGTAAACAAAAATTTTTCATCATTATTTCATAATTAGTGTAAAGAGAACAATGAAAAATGAGTATTACTAAGAAACAGTTATGATTCTGTTGTAGACCATCAATGTTTGTAACTAACGTTCAGTAATCTTAGATTTTGACATAATAATAGTCAAACACAACAATGTACACTGAATTTTTATATTACCGCACTTCATCCTCTGGTCCTATAACACAGGTAAAGACTTTGAGGTAACCTTTGGCCCCAGTCTAACAGAGCTATGTATACAGATTTTTTATATTACCGGTGCTTCCGCCTGGTCCTATAACACAGGTAAAGACTTTGAGGTAACCTTTGGCCCCAGTCTAACAGAGCTATGTATACAGATTTTTCATATTACCGACGCTTCGTCCCCTGGTCCAATAACATAGGTAAAGACTTTGAGGTAACCTTTGGCCCCAGTCTAACAGAGCTACGTATACAGATTTTTTATATTACCAGTGCTTCGTCCCCTGGTCCTATAACACAGGCACAGACTTTGAGGTAACCCTTGGCCCCAGTCTAACAGAGCTATGTATACAGATTTTTTAAATTACCGGTGCTTCGTTTCCTGGTCCTATAACACAGGCACAGACTTTAAGGTAACCCTTGGCCCCTGTCTAACAGAGCTATGTACACAGATTTTTATATTACCGATGCTTCGACCCCTGGTCCTATAACACAGACACAGACTTTGAGGTAACCCTTGGCCCCAGTCTAACAGAGCTATGTGCACAGATTTTCATATTACCGATGCTTCGTCCCCTGGTCCTATAACACAGGCACAGACTTTGAGGTAACCTTTGGCCCCAGTCTAACAGAGCTATGTGCACAGATTTTCATATTAACGGTGCTTCGTCCCCTGGTCCTATAACACAGGCACAGACTTTGAGGTAACTTTTGGCCCCAATCTAACAGAGCTATGTGCACAGATTTTTATATTACCGGTGCTTCGTCCCCTGGTCCTATAACACAGGCACAGACTTTGAGGTAACCTTTGGCCCCAGTCTAACAGAGCTATGTGCACAGATTTTTATATTACCGGTGCTTCGTCCCCTGGTCCTATAACACAGGCACAGACTTTAAGGTAACCTTTGGCCCCAGTCTAACAGAGCTATGTGCACAGATTTTTATATTACCGGTGCTTCGTCCCCTGGTCCTATAACACAGGCACAGACTTTGAGGTAACCTTTGGCCCCAGTCTAACAGAGCTATGTGCACAGATTTTCATATTACCGATGCTTCGTCCCCTGGTCCTATAACACAGGCACAGACTTTGAGGTAACCTTTGGCCCCAGTCTAACAGAGCTATGTGCACAGATTTTTATATTACCGGTGCTTCGTTTCCTGGTCCTATAACACAGGCACAGACTTTAAGGTAACCTTTGGCCCCAGTCTAACAGAGCTATGTGCACAGATTTTTATATTACCGGTGCTTCGTCCCCTGGTCCTATAACACAGGCACAGACTTTAAGGTAACCTTTGGCCCCAGTCTAACAGAGCTATGTGCACAGATTTTTATATTACCGGTGCTTCGTCCCCTGGTCCTATAACACAGGCACAGACTTTGAGGTAACCTTTGGCCCCAGCCATAGTGTCACTGGCATCACTGAGTAATAGCCACTTGTTGATGAGGGCATGTCTCTGTTCTATAAACACCATCCCAATATCACACTGCAAACACAATGGTGATTATTTTAAAACAAGTCCTGAACATGTATATTTACAATATCTAAGCTGCATTAACAGCTGTTAAGAAATCCTCCATTTAAAAGAGTTCTAAAAAATATATGGATCTGCATAGTGACTTGGTATTATATCTGACACTCTTAAGTCCACAGACAAAAGACCACTTCAAAACTGATGTTAACGTCTAACTTTATGATAAAGTAAGAGTATAATATAGTAAAAAGTCTGCTATTGAATGTTTAATGACTTGTTTTTACTTAAACCTACTTTCCTGTAAACAAAATTCCATTAATGATATACATACATACCTTGAATGAGCCAATTAATGCATCTGACCGAAGTCGCCGGGAGTTGAACACCTACAAAGTAAAATGTGACATAATGTGTTAAATGAGACATCAGGTGTGATGTAAAACTGAACATCTGACTGAAGTCGCCGGGAGTTTAACACCCATGAAGTAAAATGAGACATCAGGTGTGACGTAAAACTGAACATGGAGACAACAATGTCACTCAGCATTCAACTACTAAAGGCATTTATGTCTTCTCCTGGTGATTACCAAAAACATTACATTCGGCATTATCTGTTAATCTTTTTTTACAATTTTTGCAAACTGCTAAACAGCCTTCTAAAGGTGATCTAACAAGGCAGATGGCAGACGACTGTATCTGGAATGACAATAAAACTCACATATTTATTTATCGTAGTGGAACATTACGAACTAAATTAATATTAAAGTAACAAAATAGACCTTACCTGGAATTCTATGAGCTCATCAAACAGTTCTGCTGGCGAGCAGTGAAAGTTAAAGAAGAAAGATTCGTTGAAGTAGGGGCTGTTTGTTGATTTTTTGACACGTGTCTGCTTTGTTTGATTGTAAACAGTCACTTTAGTCACTGGTTGTATGTTGGCACCCTGGAGCTGTCGTGCCTCGATGATCTTCACTCGCACCTGTAAATAATTGGTTTTTGAGACAAACTTCATTTTCTTTCCATGTCCTTACATGGGCGCAATGTAAACAGATAATTATTTATTCAAATGCCTCCACTAGGATTCGAACCTGGGACCTATGGTTTACATGTCTTACATCCAACCTAGGACCTCTCGTTTATTAGTATGACACTCAACCCATCAAGCTACCATGAAGATTTATCTAGCCCAGCAGTGAATTACAGCTAGTATTCACCAGAGTTACAAGAGGACCCTTAATACAACATAAACCAGTACCATTACTTGACAAGCTATATAAATAGTAACAGTGACCTTGACATTGTCCTTGGCCCCTAAAACACAAATGCACCTTTTTGAAGTATTTGCATATTTGACAGCAGTTTTAAGTTTAATTACAATGAAAACAGAAACGAGAGAGATAATGATCCAAAAGAGGACGGAACACCATGAGAATGGTGGAGACAGGACATATATGGGTGACAATTGTACCATAGACCTCCCCATGAAGGCATGAAAAGAACAAAGAATTTCTATTGAGTATTTAAATCTAGAAATTAATTACATTTTTCTATTATTTTTTTCATCTGTCTAACTTTTTGAAAGCATGTAGATCAGTGACAGAAAGCCTAGTGAGGAAAAAGCTGGACAATATTAGTTTTCTGTGACTGATGAAATATGATCTTGAACAGAATTACAGATGATAGGTATAACGTAATGTATTTCAATTATTCCACAAGTTCAAATGATTACATAAGTATAAGATTTTCTTGACAACAAACAATGGTTTTATTGATATTAGACATATGTTACCTAGGCCACTGTTGGTTGACGTCATTCGTCAATGATGCACAAAAGGTGGTCAATAACACCACAATACTTCGTCAATTATCTTAACAAGTACATCAATACATAGGGAAGCTTCAACCGTCACCCCTGAATTCCATTTAATGACAAGTTCTTACTGAAAATTTGGTGTATTCTAAGTAAGTTTTAATCTCACAACACTTGGTCAGGAGTTGTACTTAACAGGACTCCCTATAAGAAAGTCTTGATATTAGATCAATAGATCTTCAGTAGTTTTATTAATTCTGTGATGAAATATTGCAACAAATTGCAGTATGATAACACTAATCAATGCCCCTAAAAACAAAACAATCCTGTCACATCTGTAGGCAAACTAAAATAGACTTATCAGTATAAAAATCAGGACCACTGTACAGAATAGTTTTTATGTTAAGATTAAATGCAGATGTGATCTCTATGGACTCATCCCAAAGGTTTAATCATGGTGTTTATCATAATGATATCTCATCTCTAATATTATGCAATTTTTCATGAACCAAATTATTTATATCATTTAAAAATCCATGTCAACCTCATTTTGGCCATTTAATTTTCCTAATCAATCCAAAATTCATCTAGAAATACTGATAACAAATTTTCATTGTCAAAATCAAAGATGGCTGCCTGTCAGCTATTTTGTTTTTCTTAAACAATCCCAAAATCAAAGGGAACAACTATGGACATGGAAAACATTTATATGAAATCTAAGAAAGAGTTATCCAGTAATTCTCAAGAAACAAGCTTAACAAGAATTGTTAAAGAACTGACGATAACTGATGGATCGAAACAGAACATGGATGAAAAGCAATTTGAATAGTTTTGTGGGCCAAATTTAATCTCACCTACATCATAATTTTCTATTTCACCAATACATTATTTTCAATTTACATTTAAACCAAAGAGGTCTTCCTTTAGTTTATCTGTTTTATTATACCAGTTCTGACCACATTGTATTTACAATGGTAACTGTTAAAATAGTAAGACAACACTTGTGGGACAGCCTGTCAGCTACAGATGTCACTTAATGATGGGTGATCAGCTGTATGTGATACATACAGGATAAGATATGAATGTTCTTTTATTCAAAATACTTAACATACCCACAATCTGTTAAAGCACTTTTCTGAAAAAAAGAGGAAGCAAAATAAAGCACAACGGACATAAAAACCAGTCAGCCATACCTGGAAATCTGTGGGTTTAGTTGACAGATTTTTGAGTAGGCCCCGTCGTGCTGCTTTTCGTTTCTTTTTCTTTTTTGGTACAACTTGACCTGTAGCTGGATCTATCACTGGAGGACCAGGTTCTTCTTCCTCCTCCTCCTCCTCCATTTCCTCGCCTCCGACATCTCCTACATCACCAACAACTTCAGACTGACTTCCTACAATCATACCGATGAGTCAGTCAATGTGTCAGTGTATTTTTATTTCCTTAGCTATATTCTGTTTCAAACATTTTACTCTTACATTAGTTGTGATAGAAAGTCGCATGAAAATCAAAGCAACAAAATCTTGTCACTGACTGACATTATGTATCAAGTTTTCTGTCAATAATCAGTATAAAACTGACTAAGGAAACCTAGTACTACAAAACATACGAGGGAGGGTTTTATGAATTCAGGTGTGTCTAGATTTGCAACTTACCACCAGACGCAGGAGATGGCTTGGCAGCCCCTGCAGGAGGTTTGTACGACAGCTTCATGTTTATCTGTGCTGACTGAAAAACAAATCATAATATTTAAGCTGACATCATCAAATATCATCAATCTTCTCAACCTGGTTTTCCTACCTTCAAATAAGATGTTTTAAGGTTAGGATGATGCTTAAATGTTTTCTATCTTCAAAATATTGATTCTTTTTGTTTGTAAGCATTTTTTCATGCTATAACGATCATCATGGTTATTAAGATATCCGTTTTCTCCAATAGATCTACTTGTATGGGTAACATAATTTGTTATCCTTACCGGCAGGGTAACACCGTTTTTATCAGTTAGGTTTGCTGTCACCTGTTCCTGCTGTGATCCACCCCTTGTGAGGTTACGGAGGGGTACTTTTAACTTGCCAAGCAGTCTGTAACCAAAATCAATGCAGAAAATAAACAGCAAAATTATAATCATGCTACATTTCAATCATGCCAACAAATATTTTTCAGAAGAAAAATTACAAAGGTTTAGATTTTTAAGTACTTAATGTTATTGGAAGGGTGTCCATATAGAGAGAAGGGTCAATATTTTCAGCTTTAGCAGAGGCAGGATATTTTCATTACAAAGACTCCACTACAAAATGTGTGATTAATCCGAGGTATCCTTGAGGAATCTGAAGGACTAAACAAGAACTGAAGGAATTGTCATGTGATTGTCTTTAGTCTTTATGAAGGAGGCAAGTCTCAAGGGTACCAGTCACCTTAGCAGTCTCTAAGGTACAGGTCACCTCACTATCAAGATGGTGCAAATGACTACACTGAGCTTAAGCTATAAGCTTTCTTGGAGATAAAAAAAATGATGTGTTTTGATTGTCTTTGGTTGGGAACACTTTGCAAAGGGGGGAGTAGTGTAGATATTGAGCGAACAGATCACCAGACAAGTCAGTGGTAGTGTGAATTTTCAGTGAACATAGTGGCATGGTATCTTTCTCATCAGACAAAAGGAGGTGACAAGTTCAAGTCCATGAACAGGTTGGATACTTTTCATTATTCCTTCCTACTACATACATACACTACCATGTACTTTACATAATTAAGTCTTTTCACAGATTTATTCTTTATTCTGAAAATAAGCAAGGTTAATTTTGAGGTGTGGTTTCCCTGCAGAAGCTGGGGACTACCTCAGTGAACAACATGCAGAAGGCACACCTCATGCTATCCAAAGCAGCTGGGGTAAAGTGTCATGCCCAAGGACACAAGGTCTATTTCTCAGCTTCCTAACAAACACAAACCTGTGTCAGTTAAGGATCAAATCACACACCTCCGACCTTAGTCTGAGGTTGAAATGTCTGATGCTCCCCCAACTGAGGTATTGGCGTCCCCAACCGAGTCAAGCAGCAGCATTCCATTGGTACAATTTTCTACCTTAAGGACAAAGTGCTCTACTGATATCCTGACTATTATAGTCTACACAGCTGTGCCGTAGTGTATTACCTTGCTTAATAAATTTTTATACCCCAAGTAAAAAGCTATATAATATATAAAAAAAACCATAGACAAAGGAATCAATTTTTCAACTCACCATATCTGTCCCGTAAGTCATCCAGGAGGACAACACATCACTACTTACTAAAAGTCTGAGGGTGGGCTTGTTATAGGACCCAAGGGGGTCAACATATGACTTTTTTGGAAGGCCAATGCAACATATTACTTCTCACAGGACCTCAGGGTGCAAACACATTACTTCTTACTCTAAATAAGGGGTCTGGCTTATTACAGGACCTTATGGTGCAAACACATTACTTCTTACTCTAAATCAGGGGTCCGGCTTATTACAGGACCTTAGGGTGCAAACACATTACTTCTTGCTCTAAATCAGGGGTCCAGCTTAATACAGGACCTTAGGGTGCAAACACATTACTTCTTACTCTAAATCAGGGGTCCGGCTTAATACAGGACCTTAGGGTGCAAACACATTACTTCTTACTCTAAATCAGGGGTCCAGCTTAATACAGGACCTTAGGGTGCAAACACATTACTTCTTACTCTAAATCAGGGGTCCGGCTTATTACAGGACCTTAGGGTGCAAACACATTACTTCTTACTCTAAATCAGGGGTCTGGCTCATTACAGGACCTTAGGGTGCAAACACATTACTTCTTACTCTAAATCAGGGGTCCGGCTTATTACAGGACCTTAGGGTGCAAACACATTACTTCTTACTCTAAATCAGGGGTCCGGCTTATTACAGGACCTTAGGGTGCAAACACATTACCTTCCACACAAAGTCTGAGGGTCAGCTTATTACAGGACCCCAGGGTGCTAACATATAACTTCTTACTTAAAGTCAGGGGTTGGGCTCTTTACAGGACCCCAGGGTGCTAACATATAACTTCTTACTAAAAGTCAGGGGTTGGGCTCTTAACAGGACCCCAGGGTGCTAACATATAACTTCTTACTAAAAGTCAGGGGTTGGGCTCTTTACAGGACCCCAGGATACTATCACATTACTTCTTACTAAAAGTCAGGGGTTGGGCTCTTTACAGGACCCCAGGGTGCTAACATATAACTTCTTACTAAAAGTCAGGGGTTGGGCTCTTTACAGGACCCCAGGGTGCTAACATATAACTTCTTACTTAAAGTCAGGGGGTGGACTTTTTACAGGACAATGAAATGATAATGGTTTGTAATTTCAGTGAACAGTGATACATATGGGTTGGCTGATTAACAGGCATGTACTTTCTGCCAGCAAAATTTATAAAATGATCAATGATATGCAACAGGCATCCTGTTCTGTGAGGTAGCCACCAGCTAGTATAAGTGATCCAGCTTCAGAATGACACTGGCTGTTCATGGAACAATAAAACCCCGAAAATACAAACAAATAAAATGATACCCTGGTAGCTATTATATTGCTGGTGTTTCAACTAGCACTGATACAAGTAAGCATGATTCACTCCTGATTCCACAAACATCATAATACAGGCCTCGTCACTCAAATCCCTGGTCTACAGTCCTATATATTAACATTAGAGTAAGCAGCGAATGGCAAATCACATGCAATACTTACTGCTGAGAGTGAAGTTATTCTAACAATTTCCTGTACAACTTGTCGAGTCAATATGACATAAACACAATAAGATGACAACTGAATCCCTTGAGTGATGCACAACTAAAGTTTATTGATTTTACCATGAAAATTTCAAAGTATGTGACAGTTCACAAGCATCTGTTACAGTTTACAACGTAATCTATCTTGATGTAATACTAGAACACGTTTCTCATACAAATAAATTCTATTGATTATACGCATGAAATATTTTATCATCAGATATAAATTTAAGATGTATAAAGTTCTTTCTTATAAAATTGCTTAAATTAAATTTCAGATACAGATGTGCCAGATGTTACACACCTTCTTAATTTGAATATATATCAATTAGGCAAAACCAAATTAGTACCACTGTAAAGCCAACAGATGATGTAGACTTGGATGACTGCTAAGAAATGGTAGATTCAAGGTTATATACCTCCAACAGAAAATTTCATGAGGCAGTAAAAAATCAATTGGAGAATCGTGAAAGTTCCAGGAGAGTTAGCAGGTATGACTATAAGAAAAATGTCTTTGTGTTCCTATAGCTACATTTACAAAACTATAAAGATAAAACTACACTGAAGAATGTATTCTATCCAGATCAGGTAAAGTTTGAAGAGTATAAACTGATAGGTTTTAAAATAAACACTTTTTTGTGTGAAACAAGGAAACCCTGTTTAGTTTGAAGTCAAATATGATTTGCTTTTTTGCAATACATATCACACCAATTGCTTTTCTGCAATACATATCACACCAATTGCTTTTCTGCAATCACACCAATTGCTTTTTTGCAAATCACACCAATTGCTTTTCTGCAATCACACACCAATTGCTTTTTTGCAATACATCACACCAATTGCTTTTCTGCAATACATATCACACCAATTGCTTTTCTGCAATCACACCAATTGCTTTTTTGCAAATCACACCAATTGCTTTTCTGCAATACATATCACACCAATTGCTTTTTTGCAATACATATCACACCAATTGCTTTTCTGCAATACATATCACACCAATTGCTTTTTTGCAAATCACACCAATTGCTTTTCTGCAATACATATCACACCAATTGCTTTTCTGCAAAACATATCACACCAATTGCTTTTTTGCAATACATATCACACCAATTGCTTTTTTGCAATACATATCACACCAATTGCTTTTCTGCAATACATATCACACCAATTGCTTTTTTGCAATACATATCACACCAATTGCTTTTCTGCAATACATATCACACCAATTGCTTTTTTGCAATACATATCACACCAATTGCTTTTCTGCAATACATATCACACCAATTGCTTCTGACCAGTTGATTTATTGCTTAGCTTCTGCATCACTTTTAGACAACATATCCTACTTCACCAGTGATAATACAACCACACAGATTTAATCTTCATGAAGAGAAACATTTGTGTAGGGTTTAGATCTTTGGATCTGTAGGTTAAACCAGTTGTCATGAAAAGTATGTGGTCCTACCTTGTTTGGGTGTTGCTATATCTATTCTGGAATAAACATTCAGGGGGTGGGGATGGGGTAGGTGTGGGGGTGGTGGGGTGGTGGTAGTTTGGCAGCACATTTACTTTAATTCAAATCTCCTGAGAGGGTTTGTTACAGGATAATGAAATATCACAGTTGTTGGAATTGTTGAGAACAGATGTAGACATAGGGGTTGGCATGGGCTAATTGATGGATTAAAACAGCACTATCAGTGCTAATAATATCACAGTGATCCCAATGTCCCTGACTGTATTGTACCTGTTCCTGCCAACTCTTTCCCAATCTTTGATGGTGACCTCGAGTTCATCAGCGGCAGTAAGGGCGATGCCATTCAGGTCAAACTCAAACGTCTGTAACACAGAAACATGTCCGACATCATAAACAAAATCCATCAACAAAAATTTTATAACTTTTAATCTAAATTAATTCAATTTAATGTCTTTTGTTTATCACATATTTGTAAAGAAAATAAACTTTAAACAATAAAAGAATGGTCATGGGATATATATGCTAATTTCTTTGTAAGGTAATACAGCTAGATCTCCAACCGGAAGTTAGCGATACAATGCAAACTCTAAACTGTTTTGTACCAGTCTTAAAGATAACGTGCATGTGAAATCTTTCCTCATACATGTATAACAACAGCAACGTGACCTGTGCTGCCCTGTGGATCCTTGTCTTGGTTCAGGTACCTTAGGGATCGCCCACGTAATAGCTTCACACCCAATTCAATATAATTGACTGAATGACTGGTACACTGACATTTAAAGTCGATTACGTAAATCCATTGTTATATATAATAAAAATCATTTAACAATAGATTGGTTTCAATTTTGGATACAAATCTGGGTGTTCATTAGTGCCATAGTCTGTATGTAATACCACACACTGACAGTGTGACATGGCCATTATGAGTGATCAAGGAAAATTGTACCTTTAAAAATATTAACAAACAACTTTATTCTAGAAACTTCCATTACTTCAGAACTCTGCCTATCAACTCTCCCACACAAACTAGCAGCATGGAAGGGGATCAGGACAGAAAATATACAATCTATTTCAAGTATTATCTTCCTGGTGTCAAGAAAGCCTAGTCACAGTAATGTGTTTATTCTGGCTGTATATAATTACATAACAAAACTTTCCTTTCTCTATCCTCAACATAAACATAAGATGGAAATTAAAACTGCCACTGTAATCTACAGATGCATGGTGGCTAGCCAGTGTCTGTCTGATTGTAGAGCAGCTACATGTAGGGTAAAGCTGAGTATCTTTATTGTGTCTGTAAGGTGCCACACCTCCTTTCATACAGTTCAATGTAGTAAAACAGGAACCTGATATACAAACAGAATCTGTCTACCTTCATTATACCTTTACTTTCTATACCACGTGATACTTCACTATGATAAACAAACATGTCTACCGTAAATACAATGTTAATTTCCCCACAACATGATACTTCACTATGATAAACAAACATGTCTACCGTAAATACAATGTTAATTTCCCCACAACATGATACTTCACTATGATACACATTAAACATTAGGATACATATTACAGAACTGCACCTCCCCTCTTTGTGTTGATAAGGATACATATTACAGAACTGCACCTCCCCTCTTTGTGTTGATAAGGATACATATTACAAAACTGCACCTCCCCTCTTTGTGTTGATAAGGATACATATTACAGAACTGCACCTCCCCTCTTTGTGTTGATAAGGATACATATCACAGAACTGCACCTCCCCTCTTTGTGTTGATAAGGATACATATCACAGAACTGCACCTCCCCTCTTTGTGTTGATAAGGATACATATTACAGAACTGCACCTCCCCGCTTTGTGTTGATAAGGATACATATTACAGAACTGCACCTCCCCTCTTTGTGTTGATAAGGATACATATTACAGAACTGCACCTCCCCTCTTTGTGTTGATAAGGATACATATTACAGAACTGTCCTTTGGGTGTTCATAAGGATACATATTACAGAACTGCACCTCCCCTCTTTGTGTTGATAAGGATACATATTACAGAACTGTCCTTTGGGTGTTGATAAGGATACATATTACAGAACTGTCCTTTGGGTGTTGATAAGGATACATATTACAGAACTGCCCCTCCCCTTTGGGTGTTGATAAGGATACATATTACAGAACTGCCCCTCCCCTTTGGGTGTTGATAAGGATACATATTACAGAACTGTCCCTCCCCTTTGGGTGTTGATAAGGATACATATTACAGAACTGCCCCTCCCCTTTGGGTGTTGATTAGGATCAATATTACAGAACTGCCTCTCCATGAAGTATCAATTAGGACAAATGTGGTACATACATTATATAAGAAACATTTTACAAGGACGTCTAGCTGTAATATGTCATTTAGTTCACATAGGTAATGTGTGGGCTGGTGCGGATCAGTAAAACATTTCATTTTCTGAAGAAATATGCAAGTATGAGTAATAAATGGTACATAATGCAGGGAGTTGTCCAGTTATACATATCCACCTATATCAGGAAAAGATGTCTATTTCAGCTGATAGGACTGATTTAAACATCTCACCTATTTCAACATATTCTGTCTGTAATGGTATCATGGTGTAGTGTATATATTATGTATACCTGTGTGTCAGGTATTGATGATCTGAATGTCTACACAAATTGTTGACTAGTAAGCTGAGCTTCTATAGGAAATGTTTCCTTGAAGTTATATATTTATATGCATACCTCACACCCTGGATATTATTTATGAAAATATATATGTAATATATCCTTTCAGGAAGGAACGGTCCTGAATTATTCATCTTAAAACACAGTTTTGGAGTACCATACTTATAACACAGGTGTGGTATACCATACTAATAACACAGGTGTGGTGTACCATACTTTAAAACACAGGTGTGATGTACCATACTTATAACACAGGTGTGATGTACCATACTTATAACACAGGTGTGATGTACCATACTTATAACACAGGTGTGATGTACCTTACTTATAACACAGGTGTGGTGTACCATACTTATAACAGGTGTGGTGTACCATACTTATAACACAGGTGTGATGTACCATACTTATAACACGGGTGTGGTGTACCATACTTATAACACAGGTGTATCATACTTATAACAGGTGTGATGTATCATACTTATTACACAGGTTTACCATACTTATAACAGGTGTGATGTATCATACTTATAACACAGGTGTGGTGTACCATACTTATAACAGGTGTGATGTACCATACTTAAGAACACAGGTGTGGTGTACCATACTTATAACACAGGTGTGGTGTACCATACTTATAACAGGTGTGATGTACCATACTTATAACACAGGTGTTGAGTCTCTCCTTACAGGTTATCATACTTCACAAGTATGAATCTTTGCTAGTCACACTAGTTTTTAAGATCAGCTATATATCTGCCTGAAGGGCTGGATTATTAAAAAGAAAATGTTTATACAGGAATTTATGATGTCAGGGTCTTACATAGGTATCATGTAGGGCTTATTTACGTGGAGAAAATCATTGAAGCAAGACCATTACATTTCTCATCACGTGATGCATACACATACCAATAATATCTACCTGCAGGTCTCTTTATACTCTAGCTCCCAACACTGCTCATTCAGCATTTTAATATGACAGCAACGTGTCACTGTGTGGGATGGCAGTCTTCACTATTTCAATATACACTTGACATCTTCCTTCAAATCACCACTCCCTCTTTTTCAAGGTATTGAATGTGTCGTATTTATTTTAGATATGTTTAGGAAAATCTAAATTACATACATTTTTAGAATCATATTTATATAGCATTGTAAGAAACCTTACAACAGTTTCTTCCATTTCACACATATTTGAAATTGATATCTTGTATACTTGTCCAAGAATGGCAGTTTAAGACAAGCTTCACAGATCTTAGATGAAACTAAATCCATTAAAGGTCCTTTGGATAGCAAAATCAATATTTTGAGGGGTTTTTTTTTCAACTTGTTTTTTCTTCCAGCAAATATTGTCCAGGAAATAAGATTTTCCATGCATGTGTTCATAAGCTTGTGTTTAGTCCTTAAGTATTGTCTTTATTTTGTTATAAAATGATGATAAAAGTGTGTGACAACATTTTATTATATACTGGGACTTCTCAACCAGTCAGGCATTATATTTGATTGATAGTTGTAGTTCATTATTTTCTCCTTTTGCCTTCTTACCAATATATATATCAGGTAAAAAAAGGTTGGCATTTATACTAAAGCTGAAAAATCTATTTTTTGTGACTTAAGAGCAAATTTCACAGTGGTTGAAAATACCCTTGGTTTTCCCATAAACAACACCTCGAGATTGTACACAAAAATATGGCATGTTGATATCCACTAAATAACATATCAATCAAGTTAAAGTTCTAATTTCACAACATTTGATAAAAATTCTATCAATAATATGTCAAAGGACAGCACCAGACCTGGTCTATTGTAACCAGGAGACATCTCTATGGTACTGTCCCCTATGACAGATAGCCACACCATGCCAACTTAATGAGATCACCAGGTGTGGAAGGCCAAATTCCTACCTGTATATACAGGTAAAGTAATGCTGGTGTCCCATCATAGGCATGATAGTGTACTTAAAACCTGGACTGGATTTAAACAGATGTAGTCAGTATTGTAGGTCTACACATTATAGGAGAATAGTAATAGCTGTTCATGTTTATTGTCCTCCAAACAAATTGGTTGAAAATTGGTTATCAAGGTATTCTGATTTATTGAATAAACAAAAATATGAATAACTGCCCATCTCACTGTAGCACACATTGCCATAGATTAACCGACAATGTGAAGTAAGTCTAAAAACAATACACTTTGCCAATATCATACCAATACAATTACATATATATCTATTGTAACCAGGAGACATCTCTATGGTACTGTCCCCTATGACAGATAGCCACACCATGCCAACTTAATGAGATCACCAGGTGTGGAAGGCCAAATTCCTACCTGTATATACAGGTAAAGTAATGCTGGTGTCCCATCATAGGCATGATAGTGTACTTAAAACCTGGACTGGATTTAAACAGATGTAGTCAGTATTGTAGGTCTACACATTATAGGAGAATAGTAATAGCTGTTCATGTTTATTGTCCTCCAAACAAAAATTTCAGCAGACAGATTTCCAAATTGTTATTCATGAACAGCTATATGACAATATTTGCAAACATTTTATATGGTTATATCATAAAGGGATGCAGTTCTGAATGATCGATCATATGCCCAAACTCTTAAGTCAAGAAAACTCATAACATAAAGAATTTTTATAGATAGATTCTGGATTATTCAGTGTCTGAT